CAGACGATGCGTTGTTGAGGTTATCCGATGTCAAACCAAACCGGCCTCCCAATTGTTCCCATGTCTGTCAATCAAGAGTGTGTTATTGTTTAAATCGACGGCTGTTTAGATTTCAAGGCCATTCAGTCCTAAACGACAATCAGACCACACTAAATCGCCTGTTTACATCCATTCAAATGCAGTCTTTTAATGAAAGCTTCGTAGGGAACGATTGTGAAGCTACAGAGGCCGGCTCAGTCTGCAACAGCTAATAACCCCTTGAAATGTCCTTTTTATTAAATGAATTTTTTTTAAACTTCAATAGTCCGCCAAGAGTTGATTTTGGTGAAGTCTTTCACTGACTATCAGGCGATCGGATGCCCAAACCAACTGCAAGTATGCAAAATCTGTACCGAGATCTTACCTCGGCTGTTTTGTATCTAAATGCTTGTTTAAAATACGACGTCACGTTGGACTGGATGGCAATTAGGGCATTACAGTCGCGTGTTTTCATAAACTTACATGCAATTCATGGATACATTCGATAGCATAAACTGACACCTCTGCAGCATGAGAAAATGTAATCTACTGGTTTTGTGGCGCCACATTCGCTCCTGATTTTGGTAACGTAACAAAAATAGCTTTTGTTTACTTATCTCCATCAGTGAAACCCAATTGTTTCCACGTTTGTTGTTTTAACTGATGTCTACCTGGGTCGGAAGATCCCTTCGAATCGATCGACAGGAAGACAACGCGGGTTCTTTTGTTTGAATCGATGAACCCACAATCTCTAATGGAAACTGAAATAAATGGTTATTCAGTCTGGATCTGAGAGCAAATGAGGTCACACTTATTCTAATTTTTGGTTAATTTCGCGGAGAAATTCGACAACTTTTCGCTGTAGCTTAAGCCCTATTAGCACTCCATTTAGCCGATGCATTGGCCAGAGTTTTAACAAAAAAATTATTTTATAATTTCCAACTTCTTGTGGTGTCGACGGATCACAAATTTGGTGTGTCACACAGAATGCCCAACAATTAACTGCGACTGTCAACTTTGCCGTCAAATCGATCAAACCAGCTAATTTCGCATACTACGCAATCGATTTTCAATGAACGGTGATCATTAGACCAATCACACACAGCCGATAATGTTGAGTAGTTGGTTGGTCGAGGGACTGACGCTCCAGTTAGTTTAAGCAATATTGGGCTTAGCGTAATTGTGATTAAAGTAGCTTCTGTGAGCGAACCCGTCTGAATGAAATCATTTATGATAAATGCGTTTATTTGAGCAAATTGGGGGTGTAGGCAGATGAATAGGAAATCAGTTATTAGGTGCTGGAATCCTGGTGACAAGCGTCTTCAAGAATGCGTCTTCAGGAATTCTTCAACGAAATAGGCATCGAGATCATTTTCACTTCCGTCAGATGCTCCAGATGGTACTTCGACCTGAAACGCCAAATTGCCTCGCGTGAGTTCACTTGAAGCAGATGGAGTCAACGAATTCCGTAATTTGAATGCAACTTACATCTCTCGTCCAACGCCTGAACGTTTCATTCCACCAAAGGGACTTGCCGCGTTCCAGACGAGGTAGCTGTTGATCCTGAAAAGGACATCAAGTATTTATTCATCCAGTTCACGACCTGCATCGAATTTCTCAACCGGACTATAACCAGTTGTAGCTAAACTTCCACGCCTCCTCACCAGACAGATCCAGTTCGCAGTGACTGTGCCACACGCATCGCCTTGTCCATGTCGCTGGTGAAGACACCACCACCTAATCCGTAGTCGGAGCTGTTAGCACGTCGAATAACCTCCTCCAGAGTTGAGAAACGAAGGATGCTCTGAACCGGACCGAAGATTTCCTCGCGTGCAATAGTCATGTCGTCGGTGACATCGGCGAAGACGGTAGGCTGGATGAAGTAGCCTCTGTCACCGACGCGTTCACCACCGGTGACCAGACGAGCACCCTCCTTCTTGCCCACCTCGATGTACTTCATCACCCTGTCGAATTGAATTTTATTTACCTGGAACCAATTGCACGACCAGTGAGACAAGATATTCGACTGCTGACACCTACCAACATTCGTGCAAAGCGCATTACCTGTGTGCCCTGAATAGTAGCTGCATCGAAGGGGTCTCCTACACGACGTTCCTCTGCCAGTTCCTTCAGCCGCTGAACCATCCGATCGTAGATCTCGTCTTGCACAAAGGTGCGAGTTGCTGCGATACAACACTGACCGGCGTTCACCATGGCATAGTAGTGGGCTGTTTGAGCAGCCTTCACAACTAAAAAACATCAATTTATCTCTTCAACCACGAAAGTAGATTCCTTTCGTGTTACTCCGCAAATAGTAATAGTTTATTGCTCTAAGTTAAGTGGAATCCGCTTTGTTTAAGTCAACCAATCAATGGTATCCGCCCTTTTAAAGTCAACCAATCAACGAAGATCTGGACTCACAGTCGGCGTCGGCGAAAATGATGAGGGCGGACTTGCCACCGAGTTCGAGAGCAATCCGTTTTGTGGTTTCCGCGGCAGTCTGTTCAACGACCTTGCCAACCACGGTGCTTCCCGTGAAGGAGATGGCATCGACCAGGGGATGTCGAGCAAGTGCCGCACCCGCGGTCACACCGAAGCCTGGTACTATATTCACGACTCCAGGTGGGAAGCCTATTCCAACGTGGTACGAAATCGACTTGTCAGCTTTGCATGACGTGGAACTAAGCTTAAACTAGAAACGTGGTATTAGAATCATACCAACTTGATGGATTAGCGATGCCAAGAAAATGGCAGACAGTGGAGTGAACTCGGCTGGTTTAACGACGACTGTGCAACCCGCGCAGAGAGCACCAGCAATTTTCAGGACGACCAAAAGAAACGGATAATTCCATGGTGTGATGATACCGACTACACCGACGGGTTCATGCCGTGTCCAGCAGACGGAATTGCCATCAACAGGGATCACTTTGCCGTGGAGTTTGTCCGCGTAGCCGGCGAAGTAGCGGGTGAGTTTCACAGCAAATTCGACATCACCACGGGCATCTCTGACTGGTTTTCCGACGTCAAGAGCTTCCAAGCGCTGAAGGGTTTCAATAACTCTGTATAGTGTGGAGCCGACATAGCCGTTTTTGTAGCGCATTCAAAGTATGCCAACTCACCGCAATGTAGTCCGCATTCTGCTCAATGAGGTCGGCTAGTTCGTAGAGAAGACGTCCACGTTTGGAAGCATCCATGGTGCGCCACGTGGAGTCTATCTCAAAGGCTCTGGCGGCTGCCTTCACAGCCAGGTCGATGTCGGCAGGATCGCCTTCTTGAACGCGGCAGATGGTCTTCTGTGTTGAAGGGTCTTCCACCTCGAAGGTCTGTCCAACTTTGTTGTTCACGAACTCGTTGTTGATGAAGAGCTACACGCAAGACATAGGGACTTGAATCAGTGAATTCAAAGAAATATGCTGTATTCAAATCTAACAGCAACTAATAATCACGTACTTGAGTGAATTTGACCTCAGGACGTTCCATTATCATCAGGGTCTCGAGCTTCCAGCGATCATTAGGGCCATAGGAAGGGGTATTAATAAAAGTCTTTTAAATCACAGTAGCCAATCGGACTGCTGCGTAGTCATTGAATGGTAAGACTGATTGGTGGAAAAGAGGTGAACGTCCAGTTTTGAGTTTGTGCAGCGGCGTCGCGCAGAATTTACGGTGTAAACTTGGACAGTGGGGTCGTTTCGGGTCTCGACGTCATGCAAGTTCAGAATTAATATTTTTTAGCACTTTTTACGACTTTCATTTAGGAAGTCATGGTGTGTGGGAAGTAGTCGAATGACTTCACTGTTTAAGTAAAAGGAAGCAATGAATACTACAAAGTAACTAGGAACAAATTTAGTTTAAAATGTGCCGCGTATTTTGGTGAAGAGTTAGTTTGACATGAAAAGAAAAAACTGATCCAAAAGACAATAAATCATGACGTAAATCGTTCATTAAGCAACGCACCGCACACGCCGTTGATCTCGATTTCTAACGACCGTCCGTCTTCAATTAGGCGCATTTCAAAATGCACCCAAACCTTTCTTATGTGGTTATTTCAATGAAGACTTGGTGGCTGAAAATAGGGAAAACAAATTGGCTGATACAGGCGAATGAAATTGATATTAGTGAAGTTGATTAAAACGAACGTACCCAAAAAATGGCAAAATTTTAACGTGGCTTTTGCTTTATTATCGTCCTAAATTAGCAAAAAAGATGCGCTACTTACGTGTCTAAATTAATTTGATTTTGATCGTGAAGGACAAAACAAGGAATTTTGCTTGCTTAGCTTTGGCCACAAATATTTCAAATCGCTGGAAATATTTGGAAAATTTTAAGCTAGTCGCTCAACAGAATTAATTAAAAACTACTTAGCTGAATCATATTAAATTATAATTTAAAAGATATCCGTTTATAGGTTGTTAAAATTCTAGAATGGCTTGGTGACACACAAATATATTTTGGACAGTGCGTGACCAGACCTCAAATAAATAGTTAATGTGCCAGAAAAAAATGACTCAACACGTGAATAACTAAATGTGGAACAGTTTCTGGGAGCTGACAAGATTCAAGTACTGGTGCTAAATTTCTGAACAGACTTACAACCAAATATATTAAAACGGTGATTTTTGACAAGCTGAAAATTCTTAAAAATTGTATGCATTAATAGAAACATAACACTCTAGGATTGTGATTCGAATAATTTAACCTGCATGTTAATGCTTCTGCTAATTAGGTATGTTAACAGGCGATTAAAGTGTTATTTTATAATCCCAGCTCAGGTACTTACTGCGTACCGATCCGTTTTCCCACTGACTTGATAAAGGAACCTTCTAACAATGGTGCTTTTAAGCTTATTAAACAATTTTAAGATAACACAATTTAAAATAGTATGTGGCTAGGATCTTTCTCAAACATACATATATCATTTCTTCACGCGAATAGTTTTTGAGAAGCAGACATGTAAAACTTTATTTAATGCCTTTTTTAGTTCAGACCATACAAATATTAAAGTAGGTCTGTTTTTCACCACACGTAGGTTTGTAGTGAATCAGTTATACATCATGAATTGGTTCTTAATCTTAAAGTAAGCGATATCGTGAGAATTTGAAAAAAAAAAAAAAAATGCAAGGACCTTTGGAAAATCTAAACTAGGCGTTAAAACAAGGCGAAAGAGATTTTTGGAATAAATCCTGTGCATTTAATATCACACACACTTTAATGTTTGAATAATAGGTTTTTTTTAAAAATGGACTTTTTTTTGGGAAAATATTTCATGCGAAGATGTGAAGACACAAAATTCTTAAATTCGTATGTCATGAGGCTGAATTGAGTTACAGCTATTATTTGGATCAATATTTCACGACTTAGCATTTTAACATGACACTAATGATCTCAAAATTTGCGAATAGCTTAACCTATTAACTTAATTTCTTAAAACTTAATTATGAATCCAGGAAAAAGTAAGTGGTCGTCGACATCGATGGACAGCTTAATGCAACTTCAGAATTTCTTTGGTAAACATTGTTGATGTTATGTGTTAACGATTAGTGCACATAATATGTTGATTTCGTCTGATTCAAATGCAATCATTTGATGTTCTTTGTCGTTTTAGGTCAAGGTAGCACTTGAAGCATCTTACAGCAGTGAGAATGATCTCGACGCCTATTTTGGTAAAAATCTGTCAAGACACATGTATATATTATTTGGCGCCAGGTATTCAGCACATAATTATTGCCTTCTACCAAGTTTATTCCCTTCCGGAGTTAAGTCACATGAACGCATTCCGCAGATTTTATTAAATTCTTAAAAAAACAACACGAGAGCAATTTTCGAACTAACTTTCTAATGTGCGTAAAAACCTTTTCTTTAATTAAGTGATTATGTGTGTTTGACGCTAAAAGGATTAATAACCATTTTTGTCTGACTTCCATCTCTCACCCCAACTTTAAAATGACGGCTTCTGTCGGCTTTCAGGACATTCCGAGTTACTAGCTGCCTAGTTATTGTTTAATGCAAAATCAATTATTTGACTTAAAACTTGCCCATATTTTGAATGTGGCGCTAGACGCCTGAGTGATAATTGTATCAAAAGGTGAACATTGTTGTCGATCATCATGCAATTGTTTCAGTGATGTCAAGTTGTTTATTGCCTTTTGTCTCAACCAGACCGGATGTGACAACAAACAAAAACAACTTTATTTGCATCTTGGTGCAACACATGGAGCTCACCAGTTCGCTATTTGTTAATTTTCTCTTTAAGTCTCGAAGCGGACAAGGACATTTCAAGAGGTTATTAGCTGTTGCAGACTGAACCGGCCTCTGTAGCTTCACAATCGTTCCCTACGAAGCTTTCATTAAAAGACTGCATTTGAATGGATGTAAACAGGAGACTAAGTGTGGCCTGATTGTCGTTTAGGACTGAATGGCCTTAAAATCCAAACAACCGTCGATTTAAACAATAACGCACTCTTGATTGACAGACATGGGAACAATTGGGAGGCCGGTTTGGTTTGACATCGGATAACCTCAACAACGCATCGTCTGCTGCGCCACCCATATCGACGTTTTCCGTCTTGAAATGTGAACTTAGAAATGCAATTTTTGGTGTTAAAGATGGTTGTTTTTGGTAAAAAGGAGGCACTGCATGCGTTGCTACGGCGCGTGTTCTAAAAGACTGAGTGTCACGTGAATGTGACTTGAATGTGGTCAATTTCGTCTTGAACGGTTCAGTGTCATGAATGGTTTAACTGCCACACACACATGCCAAATGTTTCACTAGGAATGTAATGTAAAATCCGCCAGGTTATCGTGGACGGTAGATATGCGATGTGGAGAGTGCATGGACTTCGTTTGATATTCGCAAAGTAGCGTTGTGGTTGTCTGAAACCGGTGCGAATGATTTGTGTGGAATTGGGGTGCAAGGTTCGTTCGTTTGGCGAACCAGAGGCAGACGTGGGAACAAGTGAAAGCTGTGACAGGGTGTGATTTTATGAGTGAAATCGTGTGTTATTTCTACCAAGTGCGCGTGCACCAAATACGCAACACAATACCGCTGTTTACGTTCACAGACTATTGTCGTAGTTTGTCTGTCCCTTGTAGGATGGATTTTTAGCCTCACCCAAAAGAGCCTCACACGTGGTTCGATGTTGTTGTGGGTCCCGGCATGTGGTCTCAAACCACGCCCCGGCCACTGCATTCACCCTGGCCCAATTACGCTTCCCTGATACCGGCGATGAAGAAAAAGACCGGAGACGACGTGGACACAACCGTCTACTTCAGAGCTCAGCCACGTTGGTGTTGTTGTGTCGTGTGTGGGGTTTGTGCGTGTGTATTTATACCTCGGATGTGTGAGTCATACATGCGCTAACATCGAGACCTAGGTGTGAGGATAATCCAAGATAGATATGAGTGTGATTGAGGGGGAGTTGAGGATCCGCGTGGCTGGTGACATGCTGCGTTAGGGGGAACCCTGTGTCTGGGGGTGGAGCCACCGGATTAAGGAGTATGAATAAACACGTTTGGCGGTTTCCGACAAAATCTGAAAAGAGGATTTGACCTTGGGAAAGATGCATTATTGGAAATTGACTTGTTACGTTGTGTGGTTTATTGATGAAACGAATTAAACGCTGTTACGGATTTGGTTTTTAAAGCTGTGAATGGATTTGCCCATTACAAACTTAGATGCTGCTTAATTTGTGAAACCAATGTGAGGCCAATATAGTTGGTTTGGTCGTCATTTAATGAGTGTTTGGTCGGCCTAATTGAATTTCAAACCACACAAACTTTTCGAGTTGAGTTAGTTAGTAATTTTTAATGATTTTGTGGAAAATGTCAGTGTCTGCGATTTAAAGAAAAACGGCAAAATGGCGTTTAAGTTGAAATAACTTCAGGTTCCACATGACTTCTCATTAGGCATTAATAATTTTATTGATTGCCCACTTTCCGTAGAACAAATTAAACTATTAATCGTGTTATTTCATTCACATATCATTATCTGCTGTCATTCTTTGAAATTTAACGTCTCTGAATTAAAGTGTGCGCCAGTCGCAAACTCGGAATTCATTGGTTGTATGGCCTCAAGGTTAACTAGCTGATTAATTGATTGGTTTGCAGTGAAATCGTTCGTGCGTGTTCGATCAATAACACGTAGCTGAAATAAATGCAGTGACAGAAAAATGGCTTACTTACTGCTGATCTGCCTTACAAAAAAGATTTGAAATTGCTGCATGAGATTAATATGCCGCATTTAAACAATCCACCTCTGTATTCGCGCCCCAAACTGCCCACCAATCTGAGCGAACTACATCGCTGACTTAGCTGGAAATCGATTGGTCGTCGATTTAAGGCTGATTCAAATTGACGCCCTCTGTCCGCTACACATAGTTGATTGCCGGAGTGTCTTATAAACGCAAAATTGACATATGACAGCGAACAACAACGGGCCACTGATGATAGTTGGCATGCAACACCCTTGACTTATTACTTTTACGGATCTCCTTTGTCCGCAAGCACCCCCCTACCTACTTAAATCACTCAGTAGTAAACAGTTTGGGTAAATTATGGTTCAAAGTCGTAACTGTAAAGAAAACTTTTTCGGAAATAATTTAATGTACACTAAAAATTCGTATGTACAAAGACGGGTGACCATTAATTGTAATATGAAGGGAAGCCGAATGCTTCCATAATTTTTCGCAAATTCTGAGAGGCAACTTGGTTCGCTGCACGCGACCCAGCACGAAGAGCTTCCTCAACACTACCAGAAATCTCCAGCTGTCGAAGACGCGACTGAATCGGAACCAGTTCCTCCACCAGGGCATCAATGACTGCGGCCTTAAGATCCACTTTCGTCAATTTCGTGAGCTTGTCGACAGCAACCTCCACGGGTAGGTCCTAAAGCGAAAGACAAGCAGTTACAACTACTTACAATAATTGAGTAGGGTGTTCAATTGTGTAGATATACCTTGGCGGCAGCGAAAATGTGGATCAAGTTGGCGACCCCGGGTCGATATTCGGGATCGTAGGTCAACTCACGAATGGAATCAGTCTGAGCGCGCTCAACTTTCGTCTTGATCACGTCGGGAGGATCGGTAAGCCAGACAGTGCCGGCTTCGGGACCAAAGGACTTACTCATTTTCTTAGTTGGCAGGCGCAGATTGTGGACCTAGAAAAAGGTTAATTTGGGCGCCAGAACTTACCTTCGGTAGCTCAGTAACCCGTACATCTGGAACCTTCAAGTAATCGCACAGAGAAGGCGACTGAGTGAGAAGAATCCGAGCCAAATCTCTAGTTAGTTCAAGATGTGTGACTTGGTCTAAACCCACGGGAACAACATCCGCGGAGTACAAGAGTATATCCGCTGCCTGCAAAAGTGGGTACGTGAAAAGACCTACGGAGGAACCAGTGGTGCCAAGGGCTTCGGACTTTTCACGCCATTGGGGCAGGTGTGATAACCGCTACAACGAAAATTCAATGAAATCAGTAGCGATTTAACACAGACACGCAAATACTACAAACGGAAATGCCTATTATATCAATTGAGAACAGCCTGTGGTGACGATTAAAGCAACAAATTGCACGTTCATTCCACGATACTATTGTACCAGACTTTTTTACATTATAACCTACACATGATGTCAAATGGCTCCTGAGAACACAATCAGAGAGATAAAAAAGAGAATTATCATGTAAAACTATCTACGAAACATGGGGTTAGCTAGTGATCACATTTTTGCATGCGACACTAAGGTATTAGCTGTGATAAAATAAGTTTTTCTGGCGATATAAACATACGTTGACTGAGCATTTGGATGATAGGATCCAAGTCAACTCACAATGGCCAATTACACTCGACTGTGGAAAAATGATTGATTTTCCCTTAGAAGATAGGACGTCTGAAGAGAGGACAGGATTAATGCCACAGGCGATCAAAGCTGACGCCAGCTGAAGGGTTGATGTGGACAAAGAATTATCCGCTGAGCCCTTTGTTAGGGCATGTAGGTCAGCAAGTAACAGGAACAAACGAGAGACATCGCTGTCATACTGCAAACGAACACAAGGTTTAATCATTCCATAATAATTGCCCAGGTGGGGATATCCTGTGGGCTGGATACCAGTAACGACAGTTAGACTATTTTGACCCGAAACATGATCCGTTTTAGAGGCGGACAAAATTGGCTTCTGTAGTAATCCAAAATTTCGACGGCCCAAGATCTAAAAAAAGATGCCGAGCTATATATCTAGTGGGATAGCCAGAGAACACCTAAAATTACGTACACGCCCAAGCATTCCAGCAAATTTTATTGACAGACTCAAAACGCCGCCTTTAAGGCAGCGTATAAAAACTCAAACTAAAATCTAAAGGGCTTATATTACACATATGCAACATTAAAGAATTATATAGGTATATTTAATACTTAAAATACAAGAGCCAAATGCTTTTAGCTATTCGTCTAAGCATATTTTGATTTTTGCCTAGTTATAAGCCAAATATACTTCTTTTTTGGAAAAAGTTTAATTGGCATGTTATGGTTAAAAGGTGTTCACACAGCCAGGAGTCGTATATCTTTTAATATTTATCAATCTTGCCCTTCGATAAAATTTTAAAATAATATGAGTTTCGGAGCAGTTTTACCTCAGTATTTTCCTTTACATTGGCTGCATGCCTTATTTTGGTCACTAGAGCATTAAGGCATGTAATTTAATTTAGACGTCAGCTTCTCCTTTTATCAACATAAAAATCATGATTGAATCTGAGACTAGTCTAGGTTGGTGTGACGAAATTAGCTTAAATGTAGTTACCAACATTGATTTAAAAATGCCAGTGATACAAATAACTTTTCGATAATGTAATTAAGATGTTTCGGCCGCGTTATTGTTAAGAACCTTTTATTGACATTAGGAGAGTTCTTTCTACTTTTAACACCAATAATTTATATCTCCTCATATATAACAGTTTAAACTAGGTAGAGTGAATTTAACTCAAGTCCAATATTTAATGTTAAATAAATTTTTGCATTTCAAGAAAACACTGCGAGAATTTTCGGGGCAGCATCATGTAACCTTTACGATATTATGCTGAACGCGTTACGGCAACTTCGGACATTCGCTGCATTTGTTAATGACGCACCCCATACAGTTGCATTGTTCATGTGATTTGACAGTTATTTATTAGACATAAAGTTAACAGACAATTGCAACCAAGAACATTCCCTTTAGACCCAAAAAGGAGGTTCTTTTTAACATTCAAAACTCACTGACTGGGAACCTGTACTGTGTCTAGGCTAGCTTTTAAGCAATGGGGTTTCATGTACTATTGTTACGCAAAGTAAGAAATTCTCTGAGTTAATAATGATTATGATGTCATAAAACTGATATTTACCAGCGACTGTAGTTAAGAGGTAGCATTGCTAATCTCAAGAACCACAGTTCCTCCCGCCAGTATGCATAACATTTTGGAGTGAAAAGAAAAACAGAAAAAAAAATATTAAATCCATTCAAGAAAGAATATGGTGGCACAAAATGCAACCTCCTACATAGATTAACTATACCAGTCAAGAAAGTGTAGGGAAAAGGTGAGAGTAAGCAGAATAAATATTAGCCAAAACCGGACACCCCGCGTGCGGTCCATGGATTGTCGAACGTGTTCATTCGCCTCCCGCACCAACTCCGTTGAACCCACGACTTTTTCGCCAATGTGCTGCGCCATCTGAAAGGAGAATAATCGAGTATTTCTCTGTCTTGACTTTTCAGTAAGCAAGAAAAATAAATGCTCCTCGTTGGAGACAATGATCACTCCTGACACACACACGCACCTCCGCCTGCTCAATGAGGCTTTCAGTCACCATGGCCTGGAGCCTCCCGATTTCGGCGATCTGGTTCCCCAGCTGTTGGATTTCGTTTTTCTCGGAAAGAAATCGCAGATACACTTCAGCATTCTCCATCTCCAGCTGTTTCAATTCCTCAACAGGCAGAGAACTAGTTGGAAGAGCCTCAGCGTCGGCTTTGGAGCCACCGAAGAGCCAGGCATTTCCACGATCTCTTCTGTTTCGGACGGTCGAGGTGGGAGAGGAGGACGATTCGTAGGAGTAGCTGTCGGTGGACACACTTCCACTCAAACGGCTTGTAAGCTCCAGTCGACGACAATAGGTGGTCACCTAGAAAAAAAACGTGATAAACTATACCGAAATTAACAATATCCAAGCAATTCTAGGATTAGCCAATCAGGTTGATCGAGCCTTCCAGATGGTTGGTTGATCTAGTGGTCCAAGAACCAATAAGACAGGACTAGGAAGCAACCAATGAAAAACGTCTAGAACTGACAAATCCCAAAACAATGCAAGGTCGCTCACACGTTTCAAAGCTCGTGGAATATGATTGGACCTTGGTTGAGAAGTGATATTCAATTACCTGTTCATCTCGTGCACGCTCTAACACCTTCAAAAAGTCCTCCAGCGACCGACACACCGCCTCCCGGTGCAACTGGAGCTGCGTTTTACTCGATGCCTCGTCTCCCGCCTCCGCAGTTCCACTAGTGAGTGGCACCACAAGGCACTTGAGTTGAGCCAACAGAATCGAGCACTGATCGAGCGCCTGATTGATCTGCTTCGCCAGTTCGTGGTACATGCGTTGGCGGGCGGCGTCGTTCGTTGCCAGAGCCAAACTCAACTCGCCGGCGTTCGCGATGTGCTTCCGCACCGTGGTGAGTTCACCACGAAGGCTGATGGCGCGGTCGCTGAACACGTCTGCGACGCCTGGTCTGGTGTCGAGGGATGAGGCCGTGGAGGTCTTGCGGGACAACGAGGTCTCCGTTGCAGTGAGGGCGCGCACGATGCTCGTGAAGACCTTCGTGATGTCACACGACATTCCGCAACTGGAAGCAATACGACTGGCGCTCGCATTAATTTCACAGCTTAACCACAGGTGAATCACCAACTAGGTTAATCTTGCAGCAAGTTGTATTTGTAAAATACACGTGTACAAAAATAATCGGACAGCGAACACGCAAATTCTACTCGTCTTCGGCGGCTTCCACATTCGCGTCTCCACCGTCTTCGCCTTCAGACGCCTCAATTCGCTCCATTATGTAAACACGGCAGACCGAGTCGAACATCTGCACACACACACACAGAGAGAGACAAAAAGACAACAGGTTACGTGAGTTAGGGGGAAACACACAAAGGGAGTCTGGACGTACCACAAAAATTACTCTTCTCTCTCCGTATACCGACATCCACGACGGTTTTCGCGGTAGAGCGTGAACTTGCAGTGCACTGGTGACGAGGTCGGACATTCGCAGGGAATCGCTACAAACAAGCAAAGGAGGCGCCATAATCACAACCCTTGATGAAATCAAAACTTGGACTACAACGACCGCTTAAAGCCGTGGCACTCACTTGATCAGCAAGTCCAAAATCGAGGCAGGAGGTGGAGGAGGGCGGATGGCAGGCTGTGGAATCGCTGGAGCCGCGGCAAGCGAATCGTGAAGTGGAATGAAGACGAGCCACTGAAGGGTCTCCGAGGAGGAGGCATCGGGCTCGCGATAAACCAAGGCCACGAGAGTGTCGACGCAGAAGAACTTCAAATCAACAACCGTGTAGGGTCTGGGCGTGAATGCAAGGCATGCAGAGATGACAGAAGCAGTTACCAAGCAACGAAGGTTAGTTCAGACAAGCGCAGAACATACATGTTTGACGCGTTCCTGTCACCGAAGACGTCATCCACACGTATGCAGATGCCGCACCCACAACTAAAAGTAAATATTACGGACAATACAACATTCTGCGATTCGTGAGGATGCATCGAACTTTAATTCAACACTCCCAAAATTAAAGACAGTTGTTACCACCATCAGTATCGTTAAGGATTTTAGTGAACAACCACGTGAAGGAATGACCAATCAGGAGGCTCCAACAAACATAAACTAGCCAATAGCACGTGAGTCACTTGAAGCAGCAGCCAATCAGGGGGCTCTGACAACCGTCGGTAGACCAATAGGAGGCGAGTGACGCACCCTGCATGATCGAAGGTGTAGACAACGATGGAGTCGGTGAGACACTGACAATCGCCCTCATTTCTTGGTCGCACGAAGGCAACCAGATTGATGGCGTTGGCGACAACTTGGTTGCGCACAGTCGGGAGACCGAATTCATTCTCGGGAGGCTCCGGCAGGTGGGAGAAATGACAGAGGCACATGCGGGAGGAATCGAGCCTACGAGAGAGAGAGAGAGAAAAGTACACTTGTCCGTGACCCTGGTTTGGCTTCAATCACACAGGCACAAGTCGACACCAACTCTCACACGTTTGACATGAGGGGAACAGGCGTTTCCGCGGCATCGAAGAAATCCCCAGGTAATGATTGTTCCTTGGAATGTGAAAACATGGACTTAGCCGAAAAATTGGCAGGGTGCAGGGTAGAGAGAGAGAGAGACTTACCCTGCCCGACGCGGCCATCTTATCGATGTGACCAATGAGAACGACCTCGATGAGGTCTGCTAGACTCGCATTGGTGGGCGTAAACACGCCTTCTGAAACAACAAACGCGCGAAATTTAAAAAAACCTCCAAAATGGGCTCAAGGTCAACTCTAAATTATTACAAACAAAAACGTGCGTCAATATCGTACATCACCCAAACAGAGGCGCTGACAGGTGAGTGGCCCTAGCAACCAATGACGCAAGTGTAGTTGGAACTTCAAGATACCCGCGCACCTGGAGACCTAGCCGACGACCTTGAGGACACATGCGACTCAAGGTCACCGGGGGATAAAGGAGCAGCAAATTTAACTTGGAAACAAGGCGACAATGCGTACCAGGAACGCTTTCGGCTAACGCGCCACCGGGGAGAGGAATAATGTCGCGCAGTTTGGCTCGATTAAAGTGTTCGCTTTCAGCGGTAATGCCGAACACCTCTTCCAGGGGCCTTGTAACTCCGCCCGTTCGTATGTACTAAATCGATTTTGGGGCAGTAAAATTGGGAGACTTCGTTAGGGATTTTTACCACTCGTTTAGTGACAGTGCCAGTTTTTTTTTGGCAAGAATACACTCACCTGTTCAACCAGTTCTATCTGATAGCTCTTTAATTCGCCTTGGATAAAAATGGGTCTGAGCTGTTCCGACACGAAGGTAATGATTAGATCTCGTTCCGTGGGTGTTACCTGAAGCAACCAGACGAGACACATTCAGCAGGGGAGATTTCCGCACGAAAAACAAACAGTTTCGCTACATTTTTGCCAATTTTGACCTAGCAGAACTAATAAACCCTCCTTGTCTGGCGAACTAGTAGTTTACAGCCTTGGAGAGCCTCTGATAACACATGACGCCGATATTTTTAAACCCGTCTATTCGTGTTCAATAATCGCCTATGCACAGGTATTGGTAAATTGGCGCGAGATCTAGCTTTCCAATGAATTTGGAAGCATTGCAGTGCAATCCAGAAATGCAATCACCGCTTCAATGTGAGTCTGGCGTTCAAACGCTAGGCAACGACTAGTAAAAACCGCGGACCATTGGACAACTTCTTCGAGGTCAGGAGCCTTACCTTCCTATTGGATTTTTCTGAAGTTGGCTTGGTACCATCACTCGAGACTGCAACTGGAAGTGTAGGGAGAAAAGGAGATTATTTTACAAAACAATAGCGTCAAGATGTTTGTAGTTTGGCGTCGATTAGACGAACCTCCGTATAGCCACTTGAAGAAAGGCCGTAGGTAGTGACTACAGTGATCTACAATCCTGAAAATAAGGAACAATCGAGTGAGAATTGATCAACAGAATCCCGTTTTTGAAAACACCAAGAGGACTTACATGTGGAGTTCCAGCGTCTTCTGAAGCGTGCTTCCGGCGTCGCGAATCAACTCCACGACGGCGTCTTCGGTGATGCCAAAGCAGCCGTAGGCCTGCTTATCTCGCGCACAACCCAGCAGTTCACTCGCCTCGCATATCAACTGCATTAGACCGCTACAAGGCATCAGGCAGAGGCACTAGTCCAAATCGATACACCTACGGGCCACTATCGACACAGACGGTTCACTTTTTAACACATCGGGTCAGTGTAGCGGTTAGGTATCGTTGGAAGGCAAGTGAACACTTTACTGCCCAAATCTATGATGCAGAATCGATTTGGATTGATTAGTTTTCAGACAGCGAACCATTCAGAGTCGGGTAACTCGAGGGTTGGGGTGATTTTCGATGATTTTTTTTCGATTTTTTGTTGGATTTTTAATCCTCAATGCATTGCAGTTGCACAAAAACCGTCACTGCCTTTTTCAGTTGTGCAAACTGACACACCCACAAGTCAATTCAGGTTACTGTGGCACTCCAGGCAATTTACAACTAGTTAGCACCTCAACTTAGACACGTGCATTTGTCAAGAAGCAAATATTGCACGTAAATACTACCAGACGCAATCGATGAATAAAACAATCTTGCCTTTTGCAAAGTCAAAAAATTACGAAACGGTGAAGCAAATTCAAAAAAAACGTGCACGTACTACTGCAACTGCTGAAATGTGATGGATTTCATAGTGTCATAGGCCTTAAACATAGCAATTCCAGCACGTCGGATGGCTGCCGGTGTCCATTCGGCCTTGAGGAAGATTTGCAGCTGCGGCCTACACCGAAATGTGGTTAAGGCGCCAAAGAATGCGACATTACGAGACGTGTCCGAAGAGGATAACTTCGAGGAGTTCATTTCGAAGCGACCAATTCTACAGGAAACAAGGGGGTCACAAGGTCAGCGGTCCACTTACTGGCGAGGTGCGCAGACGCTCACGGGAGTAGGCTGTTAGCTTCGCGTCGAGCTCCAACAATGTATCCTCCCAAGCATTCTTCAACTGTTTCACACTCCAGAGCAAAAGCTGCAAAGGTAATGCCGAAATCAGGAGATTGTTGGGCAGGAGAATGCACTAGGCGATCGTCTCACCTGTTTCGAGTGAAGAAGGGAGGCGACGTGGAGAGATAGGTTTCGTAGAGGGAGACAGTGTTCAACAAGACGCCGAGACGAGATCTATACGCGAGGTGTGTGTAAGTTGGTAACAAAGAGGCTACCTTGTTGAAATTAAGGAGACCGTCTTTTGAGAGAGCGAAGTAGCAATGGTAGGACATGTCTTTTGTGACAAAGGAATCGCAAACCTGGAACTGGCAAGAGTAATCACTGAATTGCGACGTTGTACCTTTGTTTGCCTCGATGTAGTTTCGTGTGGCAGTTTGAGGGAGGCGAATTCACAGACGCCGCAACCGAACAGCCTCACAATATCGTCAAAATACACAACCAGAACCGACGGACTGAATCAAGACGATCACAAAAAGGACCAGAATTGGATTACCTTGAGTCGGGATCAAGCCAGGGTTTTGACAACTGCGTGACCTCGTGGCGGTTCGAGAATAAATCACTAGATGGCAGAGAAGGTGAGGTGAAAATTGAGATTACTCTGAGAAAACCGAAAGTGACTCGAAGGGAGGAAAGAAGGACTGTTTGAGGGGTGCGGCATTACCACAAGAAACCCAGACAAGGTCTTGAATAGTGGCGTCGTTGAATTCCAGCACACGGAGGAGACTGCCGTCCAGTAGGTTCAGGAAGTGCAGCCGTCCGAACTCATAGGCTGCGGCTATGACCTTCCCATCGGGCCGCCATGCCAAGTGGGTGACCCCACCGGGATGAGGTGAACGCACCTCCCAAGTTAAGCCCAATTTGTACCTAATTATCAATAATAAGAAAATAAACGTACGAATCTAGCAGCAGTGGGTAATGGAAAGATCAATATGTGGACGAGTAGACTTCCAGTGCACGTTCAAATCATTAAGAAGGACAGTCAATTTGCGCTCTCAACCCACTCGATGACTCTCAACTTAATGTCAAATCTACACAACGAGACGCCAATAGGTCTGTCAATACCGCGACCACGCGTAAACGCCCGAAGAAATGGGAAATTCGAGAGTAAAAGCATGTTGAGATAAACACCACATTGTAGCGTCGGTAGAAGGCGCTTACCGATGCAGCGATACCATTCCATTTGGTGATCCAATGGCAATAATATCCATTTTCGGGGACCAAACTGCTACGCTGACTTTGCTCTTCGCGATTGGCCTTTCTTCGTAAAGTGTAGTGATAAATTCAGGCGCCATCACTTAGAAATGGAAAATAATACAAGTCAAGTATTAAAAAAAGCAGCAAATTTTTCTAAAATACTAAAATATGAATGTATTTTGCTTTTTTAATTCACAGAGCGCACAGCAGCCGCAAGTTTTGACAAACAAGGGTATTTGGAAAGGACTGGGTTTAGAATTGAAAAATAGTCCGAGTTAGTGACAAAGACTTCGAAGTATGCCGCGAACAAGCAGTCGATCTTTCCGGCCTTTTTGCGATTGAAGATAAATGGTCCTTCCCCAAGCATGCACGTTAAGTGTTTGCACGTTTCATCAAAACGCTTCAAAACACTGGCACAATCTTCTGTAGCCCAGCCAACAGAATTCAAGTATTTCAGAGTAATTTTCTTTTGCCGATCAAAATAATATTGAGACAGAGGCCAAGGGTAGATATTAAACATGTCCCTTGTGCGTCGTACGCCATTTGGTTCAACCCAGGTAAAGTATAAGGTTAGGTTGCGAAGAACGTCTGACAACGAGAAGAAAAAAATGTGGTGAGTATTTTTAACCTCCAAAGCTTCAGGGTCAAGTTCAATCTTATCATTCTGATTCATTGTTTTGAGTGTAAAGCACATAGACATAAATCCAGAAACCAGATATCCATTAATGTTTGATACAGGAAGAATTCCGTCGGGAGAAATTGAATACGCATTTTGCATACGCCGAAGTCTGTACGCGATTCCCTTCAGCTTTAAGTATAATAAACAGGCTTCAGTTGTCGCAGAATCGTTGGGAAGAGAATGATAGTCAAGAGATGTTACGATATCAACTGCCAGCATTTTCAGCGGGAAAAATTAGACACCAAATTGACTTACGCGGCCCTTCCATCCAATTGGCTCTCTGTGTCAATATGATTCCTTTCAAGTTTATTGGTTACGTTTGATAAACACTTGATCAAAATTCACAATAAATTTTGTTTTCCAATCTGCAAAGAGTTTAATTTTGAAATTTTTTGCCAATAGCATTAATGTGCAGAGTTTAATTGACTGAAAAATTGTGACAATTTTTACGCATATGAAAAAAGGAATTCATTTTATACACGACATTTTTAGGACACCATGAAAGTTTCTCGTTTACGTTTCCTTTTCTGCGTTTAAACCTTTGTGTGAGGTGATGACTGAAAAGATTAAACGTTATTTAATTCCTTGCCATACATTGGGAAATTTGATTGCATGATCTGTGTGTGTTCTCAACAAATAGCTCGTTTTCGCCAGTTATTACATGGTATGCTTTTTAATTACATTGCCAATGCAAACCACGTTCAATTAGAGTTTTCATTACTTAGAGTTATACTATTTATTCAGGTTGCCTCTAAGTGCTCGCATTGGAATTACTTCTATTAAAAAAATTTATGTAGATAAATTTAGCCGGAGAGTTTAAACCAATACAGTCCATTTTAAAAAAGCAATGCTTGATGCACCACATAATTTTTAAAATATTGGTTCAGACAGGTTACCAATCCTCAATTAACAGTGCGACATATTTACCCTCCGTTTCACCATTTATTTGCCCTATTTAACACAACTAATTATTATCGATTTTTATTTGTTAAATAACACAAGATGCAATTAAAATTCGCAGTGTCATGTTACTCTAATACAAGTTTTACAAAGCCCTAATTATCTACTTTGCCATCAACAGACAGGATTGAGAAGATGCTCGTCCGACCACGTTAGTATCGATGCTCTACTCTAAATATCAGTGGTCTTCGTGCGAAACAGGAGCTATATATCGTAATGTAAAATGCCATAGTATTGGGAGTGAATTATACACAAAAGTGGAATGCTAAATAATCCATTTACGGAAAGTGAGATAAATTAGAAGTATTTTTAAGCATTGAACGTTTACTAGACGTGCATTTGTCAACAAACACGTACTAAAATACAACTAACTCATATTATCACTTGAGTTTTTATTGTTATTTACAAAACGGTGCCTTTTAAACAAATAAACACTTTAAGTATTATTCAGAAGATTAAAAAACACATCCGCAAAATGGAAGCGATTTCGACAATATGCCTTGGAATATAACAAAAAAATGCTAGAACCATAATTTATTTAATTTACTAATACCAGAGAGTACATTGTAATTGACTAGACTGTAAGGCTTTTGCAAAATTTAATAGCTAGTTTCGTCTAAAAAAAGTTATGTACTTTATCTAAATGTCACCTGTATTCATGCTAAAAGAAACCTAAACAGCGTTGTAAATATGGGTGATTTGTTTACTTTTAGAACAAGGGTGTACGCTTCAGATTTGTAATGATAGTTTATACTTATTTTAAGATTAAGATGCAAGGTGCGCCTCGTTTTAAAGGCCTCGTACATGTTGAAAAACAAGTTATTTATGTGATGCCTTAGGTTGACGTAGTATATTAACTATTCGCAAAATCCAAGTAGCACAGAAATATTTGGACGACCCCACTTATATAATTTTAACAAGGGGGCTTTTGCATTGACCTTTTTATGTAAAATGATACACAACAATCCATTTACTCGTATTAAGAGAACATACATGCATCAAACAATTTAGAGGCTTAAAATAAAACGTTCACTTTGGCTAAAGGAGTCCTAAATTAAGTCTCTTTTAAAGGGAACCTTACCTCCTACAGTTCTGCTTTAATTGGGAATTGACTTTCCTTTTTTGTAAATTGATGCGCTAATACCAATATGCGTTTTTTTGTTCCAGTGGTAACATAATAAACTTTTGAATATATATTTCTTAGTTTTAATTGACTCACTAAGATTCTGTAATTCAAAATCTCGCCTGTTAGTCGGCTTGTGCATTGATGATTATGTTGTCAGACGACGAGCTCCGCGAAGAACTCGGGAAGTATATGGAATCTGTCCCACCTGTTACAGGTTTGGCTAATATGCTGTTTTTTTTTATTACCGCAGGCTCCACTCGAGAAGTACTCAGAGCTAAACTTGCGAAATTTCAGTCATCAAAGTCTGAAGGTACGTAGACATTTTCTTCCAGTATTTTTTTTAGACGCTGCGTCCAAAAGGTAAATTTGTTTATTATGTACCACTCAATCTCCTTCTTCATCTAGTGAGAAATCGTCTGAAAGCCGTCCTTCTGGGTAAGCTTCTGCATAACTTGAAAAATTTATCGGCATAAGGTCTGGTCAGTCTGGCCCCTTATGCTCTAATGAAAGATATTTATAAATGGTAATAAATTTGTGTGTTTTAGTCCTCGCCTTCGGTAATATATGTTCTTACTTTTATTCTCCGTCGTTGTTTGATGTGTGTGTGTGCCGGTGTTTTTTAATTAGTTGTCGAAAGCTTTTTCTTCGCTAACTTTGCATATGGTGCCGCTTTGCTCCGCGTGTGTACGCTTCTGTGTTTTTTCGACCAAGATGTTTCTTGTCAGAGTTTCACAACTTATTTAGCCTCTTAGACTTTCTTTTTTTCCAATGTCTTCTAATGTAGTCTTCCAACTAACAAATCCATTGTGGCAGTTCTTGTCTTTTTTACTTGTCAAGTGACTTCATTTTCTAGTTGATCGCATTCTAAAAGCGATCGTTATTTTTCGTTGAGATTTTCCAACTGATTGGTAAATGTTTTCGGTCCTCCAACCAATTCCAATTTGTGTATAGAAGTCGTACAGTCGTAGCCACAACCGAGACTACCGAAGTTCTGGAACCCGTGTCGCCGCCAGAGCTAGAAAAGTCGCCAAGTCCGCAAAAAAGCACCGTTGGCGGTGCTGGTGGTGACAAACCATTACCTCCTCAGTCCCCCGTCAGTCCCAATTCCTTTGTCTACGAGGACAGCAGTTTCCGCGTGCGTCGCTTCCCGCAGACCGACTTGCCGGACTACCCTGGAGGTATCCCCGTGTTCCGCCGTCGATCCCTCCATCCCTCGGGCAAGGACGACTCCCTTCCCGACCCCTACGAAGAGTTCTACATTCGTTCGCCTCGTCTGCAAGCGAAAATCGATGCTCAGCGCATCATGTCAAAGGTGATGTCAAGCACAGAAAAAATGCGACACAGACATACGTCCTACGCCTACAGTCGTGCTTCAAGCAAAAGAGCGTCGTGGTTCCGAAAGCCCGACTTGCGCGGGTATTTCGATCTTCTCACCCGCGCACTTTCTGGATTATTCAGTTTGCTTCTGGTGCCTTTCACAGCTCTTCGTGTTGGGACATGTAGGTCGACTTTTCATCTCATTCTTGCAAAATTCTGTCTTAATAATTTAAGAGTTGTGGGCTTTTTAAACTTTACTTTTTTTTCAAACGCCCCCCTACTCACAACTACTCGGTGGCTAGTTCACACTGTACCTTTTTTGCACTTGCAGCTCGAATCTGCGCGTCCATTGGCTGCAGGAATCTGTTGCTTCTGTTCCTGCTCTTCCTCTTCGTGGGTGTCGGACTGTTCCTCCTGTTCTCCGACCCATTCTACCGCAACCCCGTGGCCGAGTTTGCTGAACGCATCTCTGAACCACTGGCGTCTCTTTTGCAGAAAAGCGATGACTAAAGCAGCACTACAACCGTCACCCTGTTAAAAATTAATGTCGTTTGTGTTAGGGTTTTTCTCCTTGTGAATCCAAATTTTTACGCCTCTTTGTAAGCACCGTTTGCATTTCTATGAATATAAGCCACGTGTAATATTTGTCCTCGCCTAATTGACTTGTCTCTCGGATACTTGGGTCAAATCTATGCTAACACAAAAACTATCTACTGAGGCAAATTACGTAGCCATTTTTACCTGGGTTGGGTCGGTTTCGGCAGTATTGATGCATTCACATGATTTGACAAGGTGCAAAATGAAATGAACTTTGACGAGACTAAAAAGACAGTCATTGACACGGTGATTAATTCGGGAAGTAAGTTGCCAAGTGTCTGTAGCAAAGATGCTCTGAGAAGAAGGCGCTCGGGACGTTGGTCTTGTTGCCCGCAGAAAAGTCGCATTTAATGACCAGTAAATGATTTTTGTGGTATTTAACGAACCCCAGGCGCCGGATCCATGGGAATTTGAGAATCAGTCGCGCCATGACAGCGCCCCCGTTTTCCAACCAATCAGAATCGTCGCGGGTGGAATTGGGCAAAAATGTAACATGGCTGGAGGGAAAGATTTCAGTGTAATCCCAAAATCGAAAAATGAATCATTTTCTAATCACTCTGGTCATCATTTAGGTGGTAGACTTACCTGGTTGTCCCGTGGTTACATCAGGCCCCACGTGCAAATTCACACACGTCATTTCTAGCGGTTAAAGCGAATGCAAGAATTTGCCTACCTTGAAAACCACACGTACCAGCAGGTTAATTGTTTGTAAAACACTATTTTCTCGCTGTGTGTGTGTGTGCATGCGTGCGAACGCGGTTTTTTGTGGCGTGCAAACATTCTGTGACAATGGCTCATTCCCGCACAAACGCACACACACACACCACATTTCCTTCCTTCTAGAATGCTCTCGAAGTTTCCAGGGCTTCTTGCCCGCGGTGATTTTAATTGGCTCATTAACACACGCTTCCTTTTACACCCATTGGTTGGAATTAAGTGAGGTTGAAGATTTGGTTTGATTGATCCAAAGGTGGTGGTGGTGGTGGTGGTTGCGGAATGTGAGTTCCATCGAGAAATACGTTTGAACTAAACAAAACACCACTGTCTAAATTCAGGTGACTTAGGAACCATTGAGATATGTAATCAAAGCAATGCTGACATTAATCGACGTGATGAGATTTCACATTTCCATAACTCTTGGAAAAGCAGGTATTTGGGTGACTCCTAACTGACCTGCAAGCACCTGTTGAGTTAGCGCTGAGTCTCATCCAGTAGGGTTTGCAACTGCGCATCTTCAAACTCTCGTGGCTGCTGTGAGGGTGGCAGCAGGTCACTTCTAAAACGCGTTTACAACTAATCTCACGTTCTTATAAGACACAACGTCTGCCAAAGTGAGAGGTTACGTAATTCACGTCGACTGCTTGTTCGTTCCAGTGAAACCTTGCCTCTGATCCCCTCAAACGTAAGGTAATGCACAACTACCCTTTACTCTGTATGTGTGTGTGTGTGAAACGTCTGTGCCAAACCAGACACACGAGCCACACTGAACTTTGAACATGCCCCCTACCGTGGACCTTGTTCTCCCCCACCCCCCACCCAGGCTCTGTAATATTCCAGACCCCGTCGAAGTCACCTACGACGGCTAGAAAAAGCCATCTCTGCAAATTGCCCTTTGACTATTGGCTGATTGGCAGTGGTAATTCGCGACTGGCGCATTTTACTAAAAAGCAGTATTCACAAATCAATAATGCACACTCACCATATCCATAGCGAGAAGGGGCACGGGCATTTTGAGTGACGTGTAAACTAGCGTTGTCATGGTGAGAGACGGGGCCTCTGCGACTGACCACACTTGTAAGTTTAGTAGCTGTTTTGAATTGACTTTCTCTAGCGTTTTTTCTGCCTGGCCACGTGGACGAAATTGGCATTTCAGATGTGTCCTCATAAGCACTACCACGACCCAAGGCGACAAGAAATGTCAAAAGAACGAACGCATTATCGAAAATCGATAAAATATGTATGTATAAAGCCGGAGAATGGACAGTGGTATCACAGATGAGAGGTTTTGATTAGCGCGCGCGCGCTCGCGCGCGTTCGAACGCTTGTGTGATTAAAACAAATCAGTGCTTGGCATGACTCTTCCGGTTGCGCGTCTTCGAGGTCGATCGAAACAGCGAACCGCGGCGTCGAAAGGCCGACTTCAAACCCGCGAAGAGGTTCGCGTGTCGACTCGAGTCGTCGCGACCGAGCGACGTCTGAGAGACGCTGACCTCGTCACACACCGTCGGTGTTGGGTAGGCGTGACCTTGACTCTTCCTCCGTGAATCGATCAGCCTTGGCACGGGCCGTCGGAACTGCGCAGTACAAAAAATTAACGCCAGATAATCACCCGAGTTGTCTCCATTTGAGGTTCTTACCAGGGTGCAGAAGCTCATTGAAAAATTTTACAACTACTAGCAATTGCATTTAGCACATTTTGAGGTTACAGGTGTTGGTGAACTAGTGCGTCAACGTGCATAATTAAAACATACACACACACACACAGTCAAAAACGCTTCCATTGCACACTCCCACTTACGCCGGATTTCGATCGAATCGTGCCGGCGGTCGAGTTGGCCAACGACGACGACAACCTCGGTGAGGCTGTCGGAGAGATGGCTGACGGCGCGGAAAGCTTCGGCGCTGGCGAACACCGAGGATCTGTGCCGTCGCAGGTTCTGACGGAGGACGCGGACGCGGGTGGGGTGGGACTGAAGAAACACCCGCCAGACAAGAGCCAATTACGACTGGATCGTCGACGCGTCTCCGAGACAGGCGGTGCGCGCGCACTTGAACAGGAATTGGCGCGCGTGGCACTCTCCGCAACCCTCCATCCACCTGGTCCTTCGGCGTTGAAAGATCAAAAATTAAGAAATACATTTTAAAGTCTACCGCAAATAAGTGACAAGTGGTGGAACACGACGCCTTCGCTATTCGCTAGTTCTGGACGCTTTTCATTGGTTGCTACCAGCTCCAACTTTATTGGTTATAGAAGCATTTGCACAGGAATTGGCGCGCGTGGCACCCTCCGCAACCCTCCATCCGCCTGGTCTTTCGACGTTGAAAGATCAAAAATTAAAAAATACATTTTAAAGTCTACCGCAAATAAGTGACAAGTGGTGGAACACGATGCCTTCGCTATTCGCCAGACGCTTTTCATTGGCTGCTACCAGCTCCAATTTTATTGCTTATTGGCAGTTAACACCTGAGGTGGTTGTTTGTAGTCGTGGAAACGGCTCAAACAACCACTGTGTAATTCAGTGGATTTCGATGTTGTTAGCGTCGATGCACTTGTAGGCCTGTGATGATGCACACTGCAAACACTGCTTGGTTGGGTTCAGTGAATTTCTACCAATCAACGTGTGACTTACGACATTTCTTCACTCCGCTATGACTACTTCCCACCAATCACAGTAAGGTGTAATTACTAGCTTGGTCCGTCGGTCATGTTTTACGAGACGATGACTTCTCAGCCAATCATGTTGCTGCGTGCTGGAGAGGGGACGAATTGTACTTAATTATAACCCGTGAAGGCTCTAATTGGAGGTTGGGTAGAGGTCAGACAAGTTATTTACGGCCCACGGCTTTATCCACAACCCCCAAACGAACACCTCCATCGTTGAGGCGTCGTTGTGCGAAAAGTCATACCTTTAAGTATGTCGGGTGTGACACACTTGTAGGGCTGGCAGTCCAACTGAATGGGCTCCTCATAGACCGGTTCGTAGTCGTCCGAGGTTGGCGCGTGCCGTCCACCGTCGAGAGGATTCGTAACCGGCCAGAAGGAGTCACTCACGAGCTCGCTCAGACTGCTACCAACGGCGACGTTTCGCGGCGCCAGCGCCACCGGGATTGGCGTGAAGGTGGAGCCGGCAGCCGCCTTGCTGAACATGACGATGCCCGAGTCGTTTCGGAAGCAGCCACCCCGACCGCTGCTGCTGAGGTCGGTGGCGGTGGCGGCTGGCGGGGTGTCGGAGCAGGAGCGGAAGAGGGAGCGTTGGAGGCGACGCGGCACCTGTCGGTCTGGTGACGACGACGTGTACGACGTCACCAGCGACGACATCGTGAGGCTCACCAGTGACGAGGACGAACACGACGGGGAGACGTTTGGACCCTGGGGGCGATGCGGGCGTTTGACTCGAGCGTACGACTCTGTCTGCTGAAACATCATGGTTGAAAAAACCCGATAACATGTTGTCATGTTTGGCGATCTAAAAGTACATCTCCATGAACAAGCTATCTCTAGCAGGCAATTGCCAACTAAGGTCACAGACAATGCTTGTAATTTGGCGGACAGTAAATGGTAAATAGAGCAGGATCTGCCAAAGTTGAGAACAAAGCTGCTTCACTAGAAAGTTAGCTACCTCGCTGTCTGCGTGCGTAGACGGAATTAAACATGTTGTTTATGGTATCGGTTCACTCGATTCCTCGATGTGATCAGGAATGTTGAGGGAAAATTTAACCTTATTACAAGCACTCTAGCCACCACCTAGGGTCACTGGGTCGGTGTTGTTGTATCGATTTGACATGCGTTTCAAAAAACAAGATTTCCAAAGCCACTCAAACCCACTGCTTCGCCAAGGAGATCCACGAAATCGGCGTACTGCTCGGAGAGCATGTCATCGACAGATTGGCCAAGCAGTGCGCAGTGACTGATGTCCGAGTGGCAGGTTGGAGGTGCCTGGAATCGAGAAGCCACGTAATCCGGATCAACATCCCCACCACCACCGTCATCGACTCGCGTAACCGCAGTGGTGCAGCAGTGCGTGTGGTGATGCGTGACCTTAAAACAGCACAGAAGACAACTGGATTAGCAGGTGACGTCTCGACGACTTCGACAAGTCCACAGCTTACGAAATCCGGCTTACCCAGTGTTTTTCTTGGCCGTTGTCACGAAGCTGATACCGTGGCAACAGGACGGGTGAGTAGTGTTGGCGGGGAAGTGGTTCAGTCTCTTCCTGTTGGTGTTGGAGTTCCGGCTGCGGTTGCTGCTGATGGCGACAGACTTCGCAGTTGTCGCCCCTCGAACAGCGTCCATCCGTGGTGGTTGTACTACTGGTCCGAGTGTAATCCGGAGAATAGCTCGATAACCACGACGACATGTCTGCGTTCAGCGCCTGACGGTAGAGCTCTGCACGGGAATGTAAAGATTAAAGGCAATGATGGCGTGACAGTTAGAGCACCTGCCGTTGTTTAAATGTAGTCGGTTTCAAAGATTTGCATGAAGAAGGAGTGAGAACTGACACCGTCTCAAAAACGTGGACCTACTCTTGCGAACCATTACAAAATACACCAACATTCCTAAACGAGGAAGCAAGGAGACCAGAGGCCACACTCACCCCATTCTCGATCACGTTCTGATTGTACATGCAAAAACGCCAATGACGGCTTCCGATCGTGAGGGTCCAGCTGATGATCGTCCTGATTGATGGGCCGAAGTCGCGGTCCAAAGATCTTCGGGTGCCAGAGGAGGCAGCCCTGTTGGGTGGCCAGTAAGTTGACCAGCTGACGCGGTCTAGTCGAGTCAGCTGATGTCAAGGCCACGAGCATGATGATCAGGTGATCGTCGTCCTCCTCAGTCTCATCTGCTCGCCGTCTCCGCAGATTCTCGCTTGCGGCGGTTACGAGGGATTGCAACTGAGAAGCTAGCTCTCCACAGAATTTCGGCCACTGCGGGGTCTGGAAGTGTAGCGCGGCAAATCGAATCCTCGCTAGAGGTTCACCCGCCTCGGGTTCGAATTGGGAGAAGATTTCCAGTGTCTGTTAACACAAGAAAGGCAGTGCAGTGTGAAGACAGCGTCCATATTCCCTAAGGGCGGAAAACTCAACGGTAGCATTCCAAAGAGCTTCAAATTAGGGTGAAGACGGCGACTGTTCAAGTCAGAGTGTTGGCAGAATTCCTTCCACCAGTAACTAGCACCCGAAATTGCGCCTGAACTCATACAACACGATGAAATGAATGCCGATGTTGGAACAAATCGGACACTTACGCCCTCAACTGCGGAAGCAAATCTGTCCTTGAAAATCCAAGCAGACACACGAAGAACGAATTCAGTCGTCAACTAGATTCGTGGAAGTAAGCCTGAATGAATTGTCACACAGGCGTTATTTCAACGGTTAAAAGTCCTGCAAGTCACAGTAGTACTGGGCAAAAGATAGTCGGGATCAAGGTCAACACGAGGGTCGTTGATTGGCTGCTTGACCTCGCACGCACACCCACGCTATCTCACAACCCCACGCCAAAACCTAACCAGTTGGAATGACAAGTAGACAGCCAACAGGGAAAAAAATTGGGCAGACGCAGCTTTTTTGTACTTCGATGCATTGTCGCAAAAAACTAGGTAGACAGAAGCAGGCACGTGGGCAGAACACCAGCCACGAAACGTGTCAGCCAATCAAAGGAGCAGAATGGCGATTGTACAACAACTTCGAGATTACCCAATATCAACCAAATAGGCAAAAGCGAAGAACAGGAGTGACCTCCAGATTGCCGTGCGGGCGCGTGTTCTGCCTAACTCCGACATGAGGCGAACCATGCCTACGAATTAAGCCCACAAGTGGACAATTAAGGCCCGATGTCGTGAGAGCAGTCGACGGCGAAGCTGCCAAACGTCACGGGACCCAACTCGCCACGTTACTGAGTGGAGGAGACTGGAGAAAGGCGAGGGGGACCGCAGGGTTTTCACTGCGTGTCCGCAGATGTGTGTGTGTGTGGATGTACCTGCTGTGTCTGCACACACGCACGCAACTTCTCAGCCAATGAGGACGCAGCAAACACAGCCACTCACACACACACACAAGTCAGTTTTAACGTGAGAAGACGTCAACGTACTCGACTGCATGGATGTGGCTTAGTCATGCTGTGAGTTTCGGAGGGTGGACGTTTGTGGTGGAACGGAGATGGCGGTTTTGAAGAGGGGAGTGGTGCCGTGGATGCTAATCACGGCTTAATTTATTCGTGCCTCGATTTAAAGGCAGAAATTAGTGATTAACGTCTGACCAACACCTTAACGCACCAATTAGAAGTCTTTGTTATCGGGAACTTCAAAGTAGGTGGCGATGCAACCGAACTTACCTGGTATATTGTGGCGAACACGACAAGCGGTGACTGCGTGGTCACCTCACGCTCCGACGGAAGGCTCCACACGTAGTCAAGACCAACAGCGACACGTGGAAGGGCCACGAACGCGGGCATATCGACGGAGGAGAGTGTGGTGTGGTTGTGGGTGCTGGCGATGGAGACTTGCGGGTCGTCTTCGTCAGTATCGGCGCAGCACAGCTCTGTTATCAGTGGCAAATCGACGGTGCATGGCTCTGTCAACAGGATCAGCGACGACGAGGAGGGATCTGAGTCGATGATCGCCTTGAATGTGGACGTATTTTTGGCGTAGAAGATCAGCGCTGCCAGGAGACCTGATGATGCCTTCTCGTGAACGTAGAAGAGGGGCACTTTGAGGCTGCGGAAGAAGATAGAGCACTCAGTAACCCAACTACAACACGAAGGGCTGTGCAGCTACTTAAATCCCGAGCTAGTAGTATCTACCGAGGGAGAGGGTTTAGGCTCTGGATGTCAACGTGAATTGTTAGACCTCAAACACAACTAGCAACAAGAAAAAGTCAACAATTTTACACGATTTGTCATTCACGCAAACACAAACATCTACGTGTGCCATTCAATTTACCTTTTCGACAAGTCGAACACTTTTCTCACTTCAAGCTTGAAGTCACCGCCGACTTCATCGTAGTACTCGTTGGCAGGCAGGTCGTCGCCAGTGGTCCGGAGCACCACGGCGTCGACGTTTTTGGGTGGCTGGCATTCAGACCCTTCCAGCCCCGCCACCCCCATGTCTGACGCCCACAGACTCAGCCTGAGTTGTTGCTGTTGATGTTGGTGCCTTCCGCTGCCACGACACTTCACCCCACAGTCGGCGCTGCCCGCTGAGGCGCGTCGAAAATGCGGACCGGCGGCAGCGCTGTTGACCGGGGTCGTGAAGGCGGACACGACGGAAGGCGACGGTTTCAGGGCGTGGTGAGGTTGCCACTTAGAGGGACTTATCTGCACCGCGTGCGGATCCACCGCATCGAATATCCACACCCGAAAACACGCGTCATCCTGAGAAGGGGCGAAAAAAACGCGGACCTAACTTCACTGTCGGGTAAGTGGGAGGCGCTAGGGTGGAGGGGTTTGCCAGCGCGAAGCCAGCTGACGTGTTTCATGGGTGCCCAAGGTCATCCAGCGCCGTGCCAAGGGTAGCTGCATGGCGTTTGGCAGGCCTCAGCGTGCCAAATGCGATTTCGCTGCGCGACATACTCACACGCACACATGAGCGCGCGTGCGTGTGTGCGTGCATGCGTGCCTGCTGTGCGCTCATGTCAATGCAAGTACCAAAGCACACACACACACACACATACGGTTGGGTTTTAAAACGTTTACAATATTACGATTATTACAGTTATTTCTAACAAAAATAAAAGTGGCTTTTAAAGCGCACTTTGCAGGTTTTGAGACGAACACGCTACCTACTTTACACATTAGAGGCAGTTACCCCGAGATAACCAACTCGAACGTGCTCCGATTCGATATTGCAGGGCTAATACTCGTCACTAGTGGTGCACAAGTAACATCTCAGCGAGCCCAAAATCCTACATGAGTAAACATTTGACAAAAAAAACGCACCGCTAGATGGAATCTGTCTCTGTGGCACTGGGCTTGCAGATTTGCCTTCAGCGCTGATGCGCCAGGTCCACTGAGAAAGAGAATAAAAAGGGACTGCGGGGATGGATTTGGCGAGTCGACAGGCCGCGGATCGTCGGGAGTCATGCGAAGCAGATGGGAAGATGGTGCCATAGGCTGGTGAATTATATGCGCGATTTGCGGACGAGAAGGTGAAGGCAACTGGTGAGGCGGTAGATTGGAATCAGGGTTGATTGTCTCGTAGCACACGTGCGATGTACACGCGCCGTTAACAGGCAGGACCTCCGAAAGACGTGGATTCTTCTGACGTAAGGAGGTCTGCCGCTGGGATAGGATAAACGCAAAAAGCAACACTTAACCAACTCTGAAAGTCGTGAAATGCTAAATTTTAAAAAAAGATTATAAGGAGGTAATACCGATGAGTCTGAGGAAACAACAACAGGAATGGAACAACAAGTCACATTTGATGGTACAGATTTCCCGTCCACAGGGAGGTCGTAGGTCAGGCTTTCCGTCAAACTAAGACGATTGAGGACGCGAGGGAGTAAGCGTAACTTCTTCCTGCCAATTGGACTTGAGTTTGCGTCAGCGTAAATCGACACTAACGTGCCAGCTCGATCTGAATGCCTGGGGAGTAGAAATGAACCCAAATTAGCTCAGATCTTGCAAATACCTAACAACTGCTAAAAGGCCAACCATAAATGAACGCACCGAAAACGGCCGAAGGGTTCCACGGCAGGCGATGTGTGAGTATCGGGGGGAGGAGAGTAGGGAAAATATTTGCCAGTAATTTCACTCGCCGTGGAGGAGCACAGGAGAGCTGCGGAAAGAAAGGCCTGCAGAACGTTGACGTTGAGTCGCGCAGATGTTTCAACTCTGCAGCATTTCACCTTCTTGAGTGATTTAGACGCTTTACGCAACAAATTCTTGACGAATTCTCTGTTCTCGGTGGAGGCGAAACAGTCATGCTTTGAGGATGCAAACACGAACGGTAGTTTCTTTCTTCGCATCTCAGACACGGCTCTTTTAAGAAAACGCTGCTGAGATAAAGCGGCGTCACCAGTAAGCGTTATATCCAGAACAATTACAAAGACGTCAACGGCAAAATCACCAGGCTCGAGGATTTCATGTGGATACTTCCACTCATTTCCAACCTGATCTTTGCAAATATACGCAGTTTTCGGGGTCTCAACGTGAATATGGCTGGAAAAACACCTATCCATGTAGGGATCTTTCCCGAATGGAGTGAATAAATGATCATCAATAAAATCACACTGCTCAATAATTCTCAAACGATAGATCTTTGAATCATGCTGTATCGTCCGGGAGCCCCAATAAATCCACTGACTTGCCGCTATAATACTTCCACAGTAGTCTGAACTGCTGATAACTGATAAGTGGTCTTCTGTATACTGACCACGGCCCATAAACCGATGTATCAGGCATGATTTACCGACGCGGTACTGAGACGCATAAGTCGGACTGCAATATCCAATTGTGGATATATTGACAACAATCGGCAAGCCTACGGGTGCTTCGTGCATTTACAACACGAATTTGTGGGCTGACCATAAAAGTCGTGCAAAGAGGCAAGCCTTCAATTGCTTAAGAAGTAAGCGCCCTCAGGTGAGCGAGATATGTAATCGTGATTGGTCAACTGTGACCTTTGCTAAAAGTCATGCCAGATTAAAACACATTTCAAGTTGGTGGTATTAATTTTGTTTTATTTTTACGCAAAATAAAATATGTTATAAAAACTAGTAAAATAATCTTACGCACAGGTAAGTAGCAGGATTTAAAAAAACTATAAGTACATAACTAATGATTTAATGGAGTCGAAAAAATTACTTGCCTTCATATTTGCATAAAATTACATGCATACCAAATCACTTTAAAGTTTTAACCATCTATCAACGAATGCTGCAATGAATGTGGCAAATGTGATAGTTATAGCATTTACTGATGTGGCAAGACTTAAACATTTATTAATTTTATTTAATTTTAATGAACCCAATTTCAGGCAGTTTGAAGTGGGTTTAAAGGAAATGTTTAGCACAGAGCCTTCTTTGGTAGTCGAATCTTTTCTAAATTGTAATGTTTTTCTATTTCATTTTATACAGCTTCACCAACACTTCGATTGGACTTACCGTTGACTTACTACGTAATAACACATCAGAGTGTCTGCGTAAACTTTGTTGATAATGGTTCGCGAGCCTTTGTTTATCTAATAAGGAGAAAATCAAACTTTTATTTGTTATTAAATTTGGTTAATAATTTCTAGCAATACATAAATTGATGACTTTCGCTACGACAGTGGTGTTACCGAAATAGCCCCAAAAGCATTTCTCTTAATTCGGCCATTGCCGAGGCTGGGGTCGGTTCTTAAGGTAAATAAATAGGAATCATTTGATTCACTTAAATGTGATATGTAATCAGAGATTGAATTATAACACCTATTAAATAAGACCGCGGGATTTTTACTATATGGGACCCAGCACACAATATATTGTTTTATAAAATCGCTGTTCAGCACCATATGGGTCAATTTGTACCGACGTTTCTGATGTAAGTTACTTTTTTTCAATAGGTTGTTTCATTTTATTTTATTGCATATAAACTCATAGTTTTTCTTTTTTGACTGAATACCCAAACATGCAATTTATTGGGCTCTCACACTCACTTAGCATATCTTATATTATCAAATTTCTCCAATTTTTCTAATTTTGGGTTTATTTTTATTTTGGGACTCTTTGGTGGTGTGGCAGTATTTTTAAAACAAAACATCCAAACACAAGTAAACCTTTATACAATACTTGGAAAATTGCAAATCACCGTTTCTGTTACTGTCCTTGTGTAAAGCAAACGGAAGCGAATAAATTCTGAATAAAAATGCTTGAAAGCAGCCCAGCCAATTAGTGTACGTCAAAAAGACAGGCCGTCAGAAATAGGACTAATTAATCAAGTGGAATTTGTGTATAAATGAATGATTTGCAAAAATTTCAATCCCTATTCACTGGTTGCTTCTTGTACGCGAGCAAGTCTTTCACCGATCTCTCTGAATAACTCAAACATGCGCACAGTAGCAGCAGCACTTTGCAATTCCTCGTCGTCTTCGAGATTTTTAGCTCGCTCGGCTTTACCGCGTATCGTTTTCCGGTAGTCCTAAAAAATACAATGGAAGGCTACTACTGTTTTTTAAGCAAATAAGTAGTAATTTAGTAGCAGAATTTCCGTTTCTTACCCTCAGTGGCACATCGAGTTCCATGTCAATAAGCTGGTCCAGCACCTCGCATTCATCGTCAATTCTCTTACGCACCAAGTCCCTATACTCGGCAGAGGATTCGCACAGTGCCACAAAGAGCTTATTTTTGTTTTGGCGTTCCTTCAGGCCATTAGGTCGGGAGTCGACGATCGCCTTGAACTTCGGCATGTTGAAGTGCTCCTGGCGGATCTGCTGAACGTGTCGACGCTCGTGAGCACGCATGCACTCGAGGAGGTAGGAAGCGGGCATTCGCGTGGCCGCATGCCCTGCCACAATGGCTGACCGCACCTCACGGATCTCCTCGGCGTGGACTGCAATCGCCAGGCCCGCGTGGACAGTCTGGAAGATGGAGGAGGCCTTGGCGTCGAGGGAGACCGGAGGAAGCAGCTGGACGACGTCGATTTCGGCAAGGTAGCCCTGGGCCTCGAGGTAGTGTCGCACATGTTGGTCCGACTTCTCCGACGCCTCCTTCACAGCCTCGATAATTTGCGACTCGCGGTCGCGGTTCGCGAGGCCTTGGTTTGTGAACGGCAGGTGACATAGTCCACACACCATTGGGTACATTGATCCGTGCACACACGCTATATGCACCTGAATGGCACGTATTTAATGGAAATCGATAATTGTAAGCAATCGACTACGCTTATGACCAATTCTTCAGGCTTAGTGGTCCTGCTTGAATCTCCCTGTCCACCATCAAACAAACTACTTATATTGTGTTATCAGTAGCCAGCCTGTTGACTCACCTGAAGCGCAATGAAGGATTCCACCACTCGGTAACACTGGAAGCAGGTCCGCATGGAGTCGACCGTCTCCACGAATGATCCGCGCTTCTTCACACGTTCGACGCGCTCAGCGTAAGCACTAAGATGAAATTCGTTGATGTGATCTGCGAGGGCGGCGTCGGAAGACATGGGACCTTCAAGACACAGGCGACAAAAGACTTTTTCGACGAGGTCATTCTGTTGGGAGCGTCTGGAGTCCATAACGCTGCTTGTATCCTTCTGAACCTGCGCCTCCTGTTTGGTTTGGCTCTTTCGAGAAGAGACCGAATACAGTGTTTTCCTCACCTGCTACACAGAACGTAGATAGTAATATTACTGATATCTTGTAAGTAGACAGTATTTTACAGCGTTGATTTTAGAACATTAGGTAGACAAATTTAGTGATTCTGTACCTTATCATCCAGGTTCACGGTTTCCAAGCTGTCCTGAGATGTTTTCGTGACCACACCTCTGAAAATGGAGGGTTTGGAGACCGTGACACGTGAAGAAAAGGTTTCAGTAATATCTTCACTGGTCTCGTCGGAGGCGCACTGTTTGTTTATCCGACAACACGGCACGAGTGGGTCAAGTTTCCCGAATGTTCGCTTCACCTTGTCTAGGACCCCCTGATGAACCGCTGCCTACAACAAAACAAAAGCCTTACTTACAACCATCAGTAGTATAGGTCATTTTCGTAAATTCTACACCGCGCACTAGCATTTGTCGTGTTAATGCCATTCCGGACGTGAATTTGGTTCACACTGCGAGGGCCCACGGAATAGGCTAGATCGATTGGTTGAACTTGTTTCTACTCAGGCCAATCACATTTCACCTCTCTGTAGGTCAGACATTTCTGCCTGCTGATTGGTCAAAAAAACAACTACTGGACGCACTACTTCCAGATCCTCGGCTAGGCTTAGCCGAAACTTGGGCCGTTTTTTGTCAAATCCGATCGGATTCACACCAGGCAGCTGGCAGCCCACAGAAACGTCCAGGGTGTTTTTGAAGACCGGGGCAACCGATCGCCTCTGCTGGGCCAACGCCTCGTCGGAGACAAAGTTGCTCGGACGTCCGAAGTCATCGACCACGCTCTCGCCCAACGCGCCGCCTTCTCGGCGCTTCGTCTTGTCCAGGTGCCGCTGCAACGCAGCGCGCAGCCCGGGCTGAAGCAGGTAGTTGCCTCCATGGACGCCGACCACGTGAGCGATCATCTGTGGCATGGTTTCGGCGGTGTAGGGACACCACAGAGTCGCTGGACGGCCGAGGTGGGAGAAAATGCTCCACCGGATTGTGGCACACCGCCGCAGCCAGGAGGCGTAGAGACTGGTGTAGATTTTGCGCGGGTCGTAGAGACAGGCCCGGCGTGCGCGCAGACGCTGTGGCCGCTGGTACTTCAGCTTGTCGGAGGTTGACAGGGCGGTGAAGTTCTTCGTGGTGGCGCGACTTCGTTGGGGTCGCCAGTGTTCGAAGGGGTAGGGGGGTCCACTGCCGGCCGGCTGTCCCGCCTCGAAGCAGCACCTGTGCAGCAACTCGAGTTGTCACACTTGGGATGCAAGCGATCGATCGATCGATCCAACCAACCAATCACTGACCTGTACGACCTTATGAGCGAGTTCATGGAAGCCGTCGACGCGGTGAGCATCTCCTTAGGGGCGATTACTTCACCGAAGGAGTGAAAGAGACGACCAATCACCTCGAGGTGCGGCAGATGGATTTGACACAAGTGTCGATCCAGCACGTGCTGCTGGATGTTTTCATCAATGCGGTGACAATCGGTGTCAGTTGAGGCCAGTCTTGAATCGCAGAGTGGGCAGGTCTGGGGGTCAGGTCTGACGCAGTGCTGACCCACCGCGTGCACCATCAGCGCCTCTGGGGAATCGAAGACGCGACAATCGCAGAGAAGGCACACCAGCGGGCTACCGTGGGTGTTGAAGTGGTCAATCTCCACCTCTATGAACTCGTCTAGCTAAAGAACACGAAAGAGCGCCAATAACAGGTGTGCGTCAGCCTACCACCAGGCCATCCAACTCACCTGATTGGTGCAAGAATGACCTTCGCGAATTTCAGCAGAATCGATTTTTTTTCCGCAAAACAGGCAGGTTGTGTAGTGCGCGATAACGGGTTCCAGGCTGTTATTCACCTTCTCACCCTCCGTTGAGCCGGATTCCGCGTTGTTGGCAGACAACCAAGCCACCTCGTCGTTGGCATCGTCCACAGCAGGCTCCTGCGTGGGATACGTCGTCACGTACGGCGACGACTCGGTAGACTTGAGTGTGCCACGGTTGATGGCGATCGTGATCTCATACTGGCGTATCTTATCGATCGCCAGACTCCAGATCTCCGGTAGATTCAGGAAGTGGTGCTTCTGCGATATCAGGTGGGCCTGCAAAGCGGCAATTGTGGCGCATTCGACGTTGCAGAAAATGCACACGAACCGGGCGCGCGAGTGCTGGAAGACGTGAGGTCGTCCAACACGCTGGAGCTGCATCAAGTCGAAGGCGTCCATGGATTCGTCTATCCTCTCCCGGTCCATGTACATGTGCAGTTTTCCCAGTGTGCCGAAGACCTGACGCTGGGTGTTCCGAACCAACATGGCCTCAATCACCAGGGCCGACTTGCTCAGAAGCGCAGCCTTGCGTTGCCGCCTCGCGCGCATAATCTCCTCCGCAGTGTGCGGAGTGACCTTCTGACACGGTGATCGCGAGATGTTGCTGTACATCCGGGGTCGGTCTTCCGGATACTCGAAGATCTGACGGATGACTTTCATGAGGTCACGCCTCTCAATCACGCCAATCCGCAGACGGAGACACTTCTCACGCAGTTCGTTTTCCGAGAAAAAGATCTGCGCTTTCCTCAAAGCCGGAACCAGAACGTGGAACAACGCGCTGGGGTCCTCGTAGTCCACGGAATTGACCCTGCGTGGACGCTGCGGCGGCGCGATCAGCGCCTGGCTAAAACGAAACTGCGTCAGTCTACGCGGTGGGGCATCAGCAATGGCGGAATTATTGCGATCATTCTGTGGCTCCTGCGACTCTTCTTCTTGCTCCATTTCACTCCTCGCCTGGCCAGGCTTGAGAAGTCAATCAGCTGGTATCGATTTTTTTCCGGCGAAATTTGTTTAAATTCTTGCCCCACTGCACTGACCAACTTTTTAAACACAACTCGATGCAGCTGATGGCATTGTTGTATTCCCCAAATTAAACACACAGAGGAAAAATCTAGCCAAAATACATCAGAAATGTACAAAGAAGTCACGAATCGAAGACAAACACACACACACAAAGGCAGCGTATTTACAGGGCGGCTAGGCAAAATCATTTCGTCCGGATGAAATCGCCTCAAAGTGAAGACCGCGAGTGTCCCAGGAGGAGCACAATTCGTGGAACACCGTCTCGGAGGAGTTATGCGGTTTGCGCGACGACGCGAATCGCCAGAAGCCCTGACTGGCGAGGTACGCGGTGAATCGATCGGCAGAACAGACGCCGCCTGAACCACCGCAGAAGCCTAGCTCCGGAGTGATGTCGTTGTCGTCAACGAGAAATCGCAGATTCGGAGGATCGCCAGCGTACACCTCGACGACAAAACGGCCCGCAGTGCGGTGCGTCGATGAATAGGTGAGGTTGAGAGCGCGGAGCATCAACGCGATCGAGTCTGGCTGACCGCTGTAGACGTGGAGCCACGGAGATTCAGGGGTGCTTTAAAAAAAACCACACAACACACTTAAAGTAAGTTGTAGACACATTCAGACTACAGTGTTAATCGTGGTACACGTCTCGCGGCACAGTTGAGCCCTGATGATACTTGACTCGACAACTGAAGGGTGTTTCCTATTGGTTAGAATCGGTCAAACCAATGAGAAGTAAGGACGACTCAGAGAACACAGGCTACTTTGCGGTTGCTAAGAGACAACTCAGAAAACAATTGCCTTGAAAAGTTGCCGCAGCAGGTATTCGTCACGGCACGATCAAGGCGACCAACAAAGTGTGAGACGCCGAAAGCCCCCATATTCCTACCGACCGCGCACCATCCTATTGGTTGTCTTACTATTCATCAGTAATCTCATTGGACATCAAGACTGCACAAGGCGTTCGTGATTGGTCGATTGTCCTTCTGACCGAGACGCACCTGAGGCACATGCGTTTCCAATTTTGACCAACAATAAACCGCCAATAGTGGTGAAATGGAGTCATTCCTTACGCATTTGGACGTGTCTTCACCCCGGCCACTTGCTTCTCAATGATTCGCAGAAACGGATACGACGACAGCTTGGAGAATTGCTGCTGTGCTCTGTAAAGTGAAAAATTGAGGCAATGAGTAAATGGAAATTTCAAAGTACCATGGGAAAACATACCACAAGCTGTCGGTATTAAATTAACTAGACGCCATATTGGTTGTTTTGATTGGCAGAAATTCGTGAAAAAACAGTCAACAACCACACAATCGTCGTCTGGATTTGGGGAAGGGGGTAGGGGGTAGATTGTGAAGCAGAGGAAGGGAGCTTACGGTGAGGTCCACATTGCCTTGTCCGCATACGCAGTTACCTCCCAGAGGCGCTGGACAATATCCTCCGAAATGCAGTCACTCCGACTGCTCGCGTTCCCGACGCTGCAAATGGAAATGGTTGGGGCGGGGCCAGTGGGGTTGGGGAAGGCGGCGAGGGGGAGGGAGTGGTTGCAGAGGGCACCGGTCACCGCGGCAAGCGCTTGATGTGGCCAGTCAGAGTGCGAGAAGTTGCTGGGAGACAGCGAGGCCAAAAAAGAGGAGGCGGAGGAGGAGGCGGCGGCGGTGCGGACCAAATCCGCCTGGATGCGGGTGGCCTCCTGGCGAAGCGAAGCCATCAAAATCGCGCGTTGACGCTCGGCGATGGAGTGTACGAGGTAGAGACGAGGGCAGTCACAGGAAAACTGGCTCGAGGAACTACGAGGAAAATACAAATCCTTGATGGCGGTGTTTCGTGTCACGATTCATCAGTAAACATGAAAATTTGACCCTGAGGTCACTAGTGTGTATGCGGAGAATTAGTCGTCCTCAAGGTCGTGGAGAGCCAATCACCTTCAGGGTTGTGCAATGGTGACCTTGAAAGTGCGCGAGTTACGTGAATACTAATCAAAATGAAATCGACCCAAGAGTGGGTTCGCGCAATCCTGAAATAACTTCAGCGGGATATCGGTAGGCCCCGTAAGTTTACTAATAATCGATGCAAGGTAAAGCACCGGCTTTAATCGCAAGAGTCAATTTGTAAAAAATCACAAAGCACTTGCTTGCAGAATCGCGGATGGTCCGCCTCAGTCAGCCACCGATACGTCGTCTGAGGGCGGTTCAGGGTTTCGTTGTTGAGCGGAATAGCACTGTCGTTCTTGGGCAACTTCAGAGCCTAGACGGATAATAGAAGGCTTTGTTGTGGTTCTTTTGGCGCGAATCCTACTTATAACAGTCAGTAGTATACGACGATGAAGGGTAAAGGGAGTGTTAGATGAGAATTGGCATCTCTCAAAAGAAACTCCCCCCTTTAGTGGGGTTCAGTGATGTTTAACCTACTGACTACTTTGTGAGTAGTATCAAGCGCTAGACAGGCCGTGAATGAACCACAATTTTGCCCTGCACAACTGCACAAGTACTAATTGGTGCCTGGAAAGTTATTTTGAAGAAGATAAAAACGCCCCATTTTAAAGATCATCGTGTGAAGTACATTGGGTGGATACCGAAGTCAAGACGACCAGACGCCGCCACCCACTGACGTTTGTGTGCCACAACGACGCACAGCATTTGGGCTGGGTTATTAATAATCGAATCAGGGGTGAACTTGGAGTTGTCGGCACCACTTATTGCTGCAGTTTTTAGCTAAGTGATAAATTTGGCACTTCGTTTAACCCAGTCAAACGACACGCCCACATAGTCATTGAAACGAGGCGTTTCAAACAAATTTAAACATTTTGAATAAGTAAATTGGTTACAGAGACTTTTAATTTCGACAATCGCCTGTGCACACCATTTTACGCAATCATATCGACCGCGCGCCAGCTAATTGGCTACCTCGCTTGCACTATGTATGCCGACAAGCCAATTGGACATCAAGGTCATTGAAGGCATTTGTGATTGGACGACAGAAATTGTCGTTTCTGAAGTAGGAAGGCGATGTTTGAGCTAGTCAAGCCACACGTAAGCAACGAGTAGTCGTCAGGGAGATTAACAGTTCCAGGATATCGCAGAAAGTTTAAAAATATCATAACATCATAGCATTTTTAACTCACCTCCAAGTAAGCTTGAAACAAAGCCTCATCAGTGCCAGCCAATGAGGTGAGGACGGCTGTGAGAACAGCTAGGCCTTCGAGGCGGGAATGCAGTGAGGGGAGGGTGGTCACGTGAAGGGGGAGGGTGTCCGGTGCCAGTGGCTGTAGACGATACACCTCGGCCAGTTGGCTGCCGACAGCGAAGGCACGAATGAGCGCGTGGGCGGCCGAAGTAGACGATCTGGGATTGACAGACGCCAGATGCTTCGAACAAAACTCGACTCGATTGATGTCGGCCTTCTCGGGGAGACTGAGTGGTACCGCGACAGCCCTCTGAGGTGTGGCGAGACGACAGAGAGAGAGAGGGAGAGAGGAAATTGGAGGATTTTAGCGTGTCCGGCCGACACCACTATGGCTTTTCTCATCTATACGGCTCAGTGTGATATACACGCAACAGTAGTGCCACCATCACTTCTAGTCGCATTAGCCAATCCGGAGTCGAAACTGACGTGATCGACCAACTCAACACAGCACCACAACACCATATTCGTTGACGAAAGCCTAGTTATCAGGCAAGTTCAGGCTGGGTCAAAATTTGCGCAAAAATTATGAATTACGGATAAGTAATTTCAGCGAATCCTGCAAAAGTTGACGCTTAATCCAGTTACAAGTCGAAGTGGAGTGTCATCTTTCAAATTAACCATTTCTAGTCAACTCTAGTGTTTACTACGTCGACGATGTCATTCTCGTAACTTCGAAGTCGAAAACATCCAATCGGTTTAGACGGCCGCTAAGCGTGGCGAACCAATCAACGCCTGGGTTGCGTTTTGATGACCTTGAGAGCGCGCCAGCAAAGTGAAGCTCATAAAAGGAGTTTGTCAGGTAGTGATTAACAATGGTAACTGAATTACGTAAACGGTAAACAACTAAACGCATTGCGCAATGTATTCTGCTATCACATGGATTCGTTAAAATTGCCCTGTTCTCGTAATGAAAGCAGACGCAAAAAAGCAGAATATTTTTGCCAAAAATATTCGTGAATAGTTGATTTCTAAAGCGATCCAGTGGTTTCAATAATAATTAAAAATTATGATTTATTGAACGCAATTCAAAATACTGAATCGGTTAAAAATCGATATTTTATCGATTTTCACGGACAACTTCAGCATTTGGCACTTTTCCCTCAAATTATGACCAGATTAATTAAGAATTCACTTTTGTACTTGAGAAACTTGCCTAAAAACATCAGCGTTTTTGCCACGAATAGCCAAGTTTTGGTCAAATTATTGACAGAATGCTGGTAATGCAGGTTAAGAATGCTAAAGAGATAAGTTCGCTGCGACACTGAAGTCTGTTGACATGACAGTAAAGATCTTGTGTTTTAAGTGGAAATCGATTACTTGCAACGCATTTTGCTTTGCGCTGGCACGTAGATTGCATGCCAGTAGGTGGGTCGAACGTCGCGGTGAATGTTACCACAAAAATGAGCTTAATTACGAGGTAAAACGCATGGAAACTAATCGACAATTTTAGGCGGAACGGTTTTAACGATTTCCAACAAGTAAGCTGAAAATTATTAATGAAAGTGTGCTGGGAGAGGGAACATACATACCTCAAGGAATGTGATATATCTAAGGAGATGTGGATTCGGCAACTGACTTAGTAACTTCTTCGCGCAAAACACTGAGGCGTAGACGTCAAAGCTAAGTGATGGTACTTTGGTAGCATTTCCGGGAAGAATAGTGGACTTGGAAGTAACCCATGACGGTGCAACACCTCCTTTTAAAAGGACTAAAGTACCAATCACACCGGGTTTCCCTTGAAGTCCTGAAAAAAATGCAGATACTACTTAAATAATGGGAATAAAGGTTATTACATGAAAATTAACAGTATTTCGCAAATAATGCACATCAAATAGACTAGATTTCTCACCTTCAGAAATTTTGGAAACTGGAAATCCACATAAGTGTTTCGAAGGCATAAATACTTTTAATGAAACACTGGAATTCAACAAATTGGAGGAGTGCTCCACGACCTTTTCAATGACAGGCCTTTGGAATAGTTTTGAATCTAGAACAGCTTGCGCCACGTGAAGTTCATCCTCCGAAGAGCCATACTGGAAGGTTAATTACTAAGGGATACTACATACCTTGGCAATTAGGAACATGACAAGTTGGAACAGCAAAAGAATGATGGCGACGGCTGATAAGAACAAGCACAATGTGTGGAACTTCTGCGTTTTTTGCAAAAATCTACAGGCCCCACGAGAAGGCAATTTACCGAGGAGAAAATAGCCCATTCTCTCACAAAGTCGAGCACCAAGACTGTGAATACGATGCCACACCTTGTAACGAAACAAAGCGCAAACGTAGCGAGCGAACAGGTGCAGTTTCTAAAACTAAGTTGAATATTCAACAAACTTGGCGATACATTATACAATGCTTCAGGTCTCTATGCTGAAAAGGACGTTAAGGTAGATCCAGCAGGTGTTAGAAAGACGCATACGCGTCAAGGCAATAAAATTCGGGATATGCTATAGTAAAATTCAGTCTTTTTGAGCCCGAATTCTGCAACTAGTGCACAAGAATAAACACTGACAATTCAGAACCGAATGAGCCTCCTCAACATCGTCATCAAAGCCTAAAACATTTCAGAACTCGCAACGTCCTTGAGAATAATAAAACAGTTATTAATATATAGGTAAAAATCGTCACCGTAGAAAATTATCAAGACCCTCTAAATACTTTTTGCATAACCTATTAGGTATTTATACGATTTTAGCTGTGCATAAACCACTTTCGCAGAGAGGTAACGCGAGACTGTATCGGTATTTAGGATAGATATCACTTAGAGTGATGTCGCCTGTCCGCTTATTCTCTCATGACTGAAAATGCGTCACGTTTCTAAAAGAGGAATACCAGGAACCTGTTGCGGAAAAATCTATCACCTTAAATGTTTTAAAAATCCTAATTGCTTTGAGCTACTTCAGCAACAAATCGAAGACTCCCGAAACTTTACCTTTGAGGGTGTAAACTATTATGGAGTTTTAAACACAGCTTACAATATTTAAAACGGACAAGTTATATCCTTTAAAACGCAGATACAATTTTTTGTGGGTACACTTAATTAACCGCTTTACAGTGGATGACAACTTACCTTGGCTACCGAGATGATTTATAGAATCCATCAGGGATATTCCAGGACTTCATGATTCGTGATTTTGCGCATCTGCCGACTTACTCGTTATAGTTCTATTTATCTTTTTCACATTTTTGTAGCAAACAAACATGTCTTGTTGCTCATTCCATGTACTGTAATGTTCATGCGTTTCTATTGGATGATTTCTTCAATCACTCAATTTTTTTTCCACGACCCTTGCTACGTCTTAGCGGAAGCAGGTACAAGACTGCAAGCCATCCACAAACCAAAACCATAGATCAGTGGCCGACCAACAGTGTACACTTTATTGGCTTTCCCATCCGATCTTGCCTCTGGATAATCCTCAACGTAGGCCACTTAAATCCACGAAAAATAAAGGATTGGCTGAGGTTTTCGGTATTTTTTTGAATGGCTGCGCCTCAAACTATCACCACTGTAGAATATTCGAGTCCTAATAAGAAGAAGACTGGTACAACAGATTGGGCTTTATTGACAAATTACAAACCAGAACCACATGTTAGGCACTGTCCATCCGAGTCCTCCACGCTGGCCACGCTGCTCATTACTTACAGCTCCTCATTCGTGTCTTTCTCTGGTTGGCTGCCTTTCTTCCTCACATGCCATTAGAACGCAGAAAGACAAAGAATTGGCTGGGACCAGCGTAGTCCAATATGTCTACGCCCTCAGACGCCGCCACACTGCCTCCTCCTCAGGAGTGAGGAGGGTTGGTTGGCTGCAGATCTTCCTCGTAGGCCACTCAAATGCTCATAAGCAGATGACTGAATAAGGTCGGCGTGGCTTAATTATACTTCTCTACAGGGACTTGTGGTCCAGAGGTTGCGCTGGTACACTCATGCGCATGTAGAGGTTGTTGTAGATCGCACCCCAAGATTATAAACGACCCAGAAAAGGGTTCTCTCATGTCTTCTATGAACATTCTGCTAACTCGCTTAAGAACATACAAAATCCCGTCTCCCCAATCTCAATCCACAATCTACGCTAAAAAACTGTCTTTCACTGCTTATGTGTCTGTACCTTTAAACGGCTCGAAACTGCAGTCAATATTTTATTAATTTTGGAAGTAAATCAAAATCCTTAGGCATTCCAGGTCATCCGAGTCTTCGACTAACTCAATATCAATTCACATACTTGCAAATTTTATGATTTTCACTTTGTTTAAATGACCTTGTGGTAGTAGAATAGGCGCCTAATCAATCAATCGTACCTCGTCCTTGAGACAAGAGCTGGCTGTACCAAAATTACCCCCATGTGATTAAAACGACCTTACATGTATATTACCACATTAAACAGCGCAAATTAAACAAAACACAACACTAGTTTACAATAATTGCATAGGACTCAAGAATCCGCCTATTTAGCAGGGAAATCAAATATGCTGAGTGGTTCCCAAATTCTAAATGCCTGTGGACATAGAAAACAAACCCATCGCTTCCCAAATACTGCAGTCTTAACAGCTCGAAAAAGCAATGCGACAGATTTAACACCCGTTAAAACCGATAGTTTCAATCAAAGTTTACCGAAACGACACATGCGGTGAAAACAACTGACCCCGTGAACACTGAGAAAGAAGTTAATTAGCATGACACACAGATTCCGGGCCTTCATTATTGCTTACACACAAAAAAGAACAAAAAAGTTTGGAAATCAGTGGACTTACGACGCGAAATTAACATTCAGGTTAATTTTTCCACACACTGGGTGCGTGCGTATGTGAACTTTGTGCAAAGTTGAATTTACAATTAACAATTCAGAGTGAAACCAAGCTAGGCCTTTCAGAAACAGATTGCAAATGCACAACAACAATAACCAATAATCACCATAGGCGCGTGTCAAACCGATGTCCACTGTGTTAGATCGAAACCAAACGATTTGTTTTAATGAATTCATAGCGGAAGTTAATTGGTCAGAATTCTACTTGGAGAATTTCCGTTCTGAGGTTGTACAGGATGCCGCCGAAATGTCAAAAATAACCAAATGTTAGCAGCTAAAGGCGGAATCTTAAGAGATAGCGAGAAAACAAAGACTGTCTATTGACCACATACGAGGTTATATTAAATATACGCATAACTATTACAAAGTGAGGGAAATGTCTGGTGTCAGTCTAAGCATGGATTAAATGCACGCTCACGGGGGAAAAACGGAACACACAAAAAAGAAGACAAATAAAGAAAGGGGGGGAGGGAGAGGAAGAAAAGTGGGAACAAAGCAAATGCACCGGGGGCTTTGGCCAGCTTCCAGCCTACTTCCGCAGTCGGTGATGCTGCGCCCAGCTAGATTCGGGCTCAAAGGGCGAATGCACGACGACCTGTACAACAAAACTCAACGGCGGCGCGATTCCCGACGGACAGTCGGCGATGCGGAGTCCGTCGCGCAGCGCCACGCCCGCGCAGTACCATCGCTGCCGATCGGGCGGCCAGCCAATCAGCGTGGCAAGCTGCCGCTTCACCTCGAGCACCGACTGGCTGCCTGACACCGGGAGGGTGTGCTCATCACCAGTGGAGAGTCGCACGCGCAGATCGAAGGGCGCTGTCGGCATGCCCGTGGCGAGCATGGCCGAATCGGAACCGTGCGGGTTGCGTCCAGCACCGCGTTTCCGGCGGACAATTCTGCTCAGAGTGTGGACCCTTCGTCGACGACGGAAGAGGCGGCTGAAGGTATGGAATGGTCCGTGAGTGGGGCTCAATCGAGGGACTGTGGAAGTGACAGGAGGGGAATGCGGAGTGTGGAGGCTGACTACAGTGACCCCCTCGTTTTCCTCGTCACTGTCGCCGCTGGGTGACAAAGGGTTATTGGCGCTGTCTGCGTGGGTGATGGCGGCGGTGGTTTCTGAGGGGGAAGCGGCTGGATCACCAGGGCTTGCAGCACCGGAGGGATCCGGCTCGAGGTTGGTTGGACGAGAGAGCACGAAGACGGGGAGTTGGTAGCGATTGCCCAGTTCGTCGTAGCACTCAGACAAGGTTCCTGAAACAGACATCACCACTAGCGTCGTGCTTTCACTAAGTCGTCAGCAGTTTAAAGAAAGCAAGCACAATCAAATCCATCGTGTGATAGGTTGCCACAACATCAAAACATCCAAGAAGTCAATTTCAGTCGTGAAAACGCTAAAGTGACCTTTGAATCCATGATTTTTGTGGTTTGAAAAATTGGTTGAAAAAAAGCTTCTTTCTGACAACATGGGGAATAATTTACGCTGATTTGCAAAACTGTTCGGAGCTAATTGAAAAAGATCAAAAAAATGATTTCTACTCAAACTTTAGCCAGAGACGCTGGAATAGGGCTTTTGCATGTTGTATCAGTCGCGGACAAAGACTAGTCCAACATACGGAAGGAGGAAGCAGTTTATAAAAAGATGATCAATAGCAATCAAGTAATCACATCAAATATTTACTGTAGTAAATTTCGGCGTTCGGATATAAAAAAAACGGTCCCCATTGGTTAGCAGGAGGGAGTTCAGTTTTTATTGACTACACTACTGTATAATAATTGGCTAATTTCAGACAGGCGGGGGCCAGAAAGTAACTTATTGTAGCGATTTGTAGGCGGAGGAAAGGTCAAATCCTATTGGAGAGTGAACGCAGGCAACCGTAGTCCACTTATTTTTTTCAAACACACCTCCCCCCACTTGATTAGACTCTACGGTGTTGTTCGTAGTCTCGAGAAGCAGCCTAAGGTTAGCTTATTTCGCAGCTTGATGAAAGCAACCAAGCCAATTGCCATTTTAATATTAAATTTATGTATAAAAGTGCTTTTCAACTAGCACAGGCTGTCACCTGAAGCACGACGGGATTAAGCCGGAGACATTTGGTGATCGCTTGTGGCATAGGCAAACTCGGTTTGGTGTACAACCTGCCTTCTGCCATTTGGTGAACAGATTTTATGAACTTCAAACGATTTTTTAGATCTTACTTGACTTACAAACATCGTTTTATGAAATCGCCATAAAACGCTGACAAGGAATGAGAAACCGATTCAAAATGATTTTAAACAATGGAATTAGTTACGATTGCTCAGGAAGCATACAAAGAATGGCAAATGACTGTGTTACCAACCAGTAACTGGAAGCAACTCAAGATTATAGAAATAATAAACAGAAACGAGGATATGCTAAGGGCAGAAGCACTTCCCGGGACCAGTAATTTGACAAGCTGTAAGCATGTACACAAAATAGAAATAAAAAAAGGTTTTTTTTTTAAAAAAAATATGCTTAACAAACCTGTTGGCAAAATTATGCTGGCGCTGTCAATTATGGCCTGTGCAAGCTCATGATCGCCGCGTTCAGAGGCCTCAGCTGCGGACCGAAGAGCATCCCAAATCTCTTGGCGCCCTTCAAATGCCGGTGCGGTATCCCAAAACTCATCTCTTTTTTGTTTTAAATGGGACTCGTAAATTGGCTGCGAGCTGCGCCAACGGACAGCGCCGCGTTTCAGTGGCTGATTTTTTCCGACGGCTAAAAAGAAGAACGCAATATTTTCAAAACCACAACGAAAAGCAGACGAGAGTAGATACTTAAGATTTAAAAAAGCAATTTAAAAAGCAGTGGTAAAAATTTTTAATCATACTTTAAAGGAACATTAAGTGGGCTAAGTCAGAATCGAGAAAAAGATGGAATGGTGTGAGTCAACCGATAAAAGTAGCAGAGCGAAAAAATTCTGGAGATATGTTCTGCACTGCGATTATAAAAAAACATGAATACGTTACAAGTAAAGTAAAAAAGCAGTCTTAAATTTGTAAATTTGAATGATTTTCCATCAACGAAATTTCATGGTAAAAAGTAATCCTCAAAGCAGATAAAAATTAGACAGAGCCTTAAAGAGATGTTTAATTATAAATTCGAATGCAATTTATTTTAATTATTACAAAAAGGCCTTTAGAAATAACGAGGCATAAAATCAACAGCATAATAAATAACAAAATGTTATATAATAATTCATAATACACCCCATTTATTTAATAACTATCCCACATGAGTTTTAAGTATTCTTAAACTAGACAAATTCACCAAGAATAAAATCGCAATTAAAACGCTACCTATTCTTGGTGTTGTCCAGTTATTATTCCCACCGCGATCCGAGGGAACAGCTGATCGGTGCAAGCGATTTCCCATTTTTGATTGAACTGATGCACTTAAACAGAATAAAGCAATTATCCATGAAAAATAACTCTTTTCGTAGAATCTCTTTCAAAAGGTCGTTTAAATTCATAAACACTCAATCAAACTTACATGCTTTGTAGATTCTTAATTTGTTGAATTAGAAGACAAACATAGTATGTTAGCAGAAGTCTTCAGGTTTGAAAAAATTATGATTTTGGGAAGAACGGAAGTTATGGCATGAAAGTAAATGATTTTAAAGCATACATTACCAGCTAAAACTATTAAAAAAGCTTTTAAATGATGCGAGCACTAAATTGGCAAGTGATGCAGTTAATACCCTATCAATTTTAGTTTTGTGTGATTAGGCAAAGATATTGACGTGTCTTTATTTCAAAAAATTAATCCGCAGGTAATTTCTAAGTGAAATATTTTGCGGAACTTTATTTGCCCGTAAATGGAAAGCAGCATTGAACGTGTCTTCTAACCATTATATAAGTTAAATGTCATGTTTAACCTGATTGACGCTTTGACTTTAATGGTTAAGAAAAGTTTCATGAATTGTAGTGCCTTAAAATGGGGCATTTTAGTGATACTTTACTAGCATTGTCAGTACTTGTTGTTTACTATGAGGCATAAAGGGCACTTAATGCTAAAAAACACATCTCATCTGCTCCTATTATTCATGATCCACCAAAATTCTAGAAGTGGGACTGTTTTTCGTCTACTGATCAATCAGATTTGCCTGTGATTATGTGCTTAATTGAAAATCTAAGTTTATGTCACACAAACATCTGAAAGATTTTTTTGGCTAAGCATGACAACTGCCATGGGTGACTAGGGTTCTAGATTGACTATTCTTAAAACTTCTAAACACTTTTTTGCTTAAATTTAGGCATGAATTTTTGCTCGACTTCAGTGATATTTTTCGTGTTTATTCACACAAACAGTTATTACAAAAATGGTGGTAATTTAGTAAGGAAATATTGTCACTAATTTATCATCTACTTGTCAAATATTACTTCAAATAATCTCTGCCTTTTTTAACAACTAAAGTAAAAAAATCTACTCGACCAATGATTTTGAGCAGCAGATATTAAAATTTCTGCGTTTTTGTCTCAGAGTTCTGCTCCGTGGGGGCTTGTGGGTAGCAAGTCATGCTTATGTCCGCATTGTGCCTAGACGTAAAACCCAATCATAACAAAATATTTTGACCATTCTAATGTAGAACAGAACCTGGAGAACAAAAGACCTGTAGATTTGAAAAAGGAATGGTTTTTTTCAATTAAAAAAGGGAATCGCTTTTAATCGAAAAAAAATTTATGATTTTTAATTACTGTTGGATAACTTAAGATCATTAAGCCCCCATAAGTGATTCGTGTGGTTTAATGAACTTCATTATTGCTTACGAAAAGCCTTTCAGTAATAAATAATAAAAGTGCATTCATTTTACAAATAGGTGTAGTTAATTAACTGTTAATTAAATGGGGATGCGCTTACTAAAAAGTGACCTTTAAATATATATGGGGCATTTAAAAGCCGGTCTTATATCTTTTAAAAAATTTTTACAGCAATTTTTATTTAGGGTCATTCCTCGTTAATTTTCTATTGACAATACTATCACTGTTAAATTTAAAGGTAGTGTTTTTGAATTAAGATCCCACGCTTTTTTAGCATTTGTTTAGCAAACGGAATTCCACAATGGACTCGCTAATATCTAGAAACCATTCAGTCCGAATGTATTCTTTAAAGGAAATGCTTGCTTGTGCATTATGTTTAATTTTTGTAAATGTTGAATAGCTGCATTTTATTTTCACGTAGGCAAAACCTCGGTATCATGATCTTACAAATATTTTCGATACTATTTACTGATAACTATAGGCAATACTCCAAAACACATTGATTTCTACTAATGACCTCGTGGGACATTTAAATTTTTGTCGGGCATTATCGGTGTAACGCTATTTGGGGGCATGTCTGCTATTGAACAAAGTCCATTACACATATAATAAAAAAGATGGAAGCTGCATATAATCATCCAGATCGGTACGTTAAATGTGTTTCCACCTTCATACAATGAATGTTTGATTGCTACTTGTCTACGCTAGGTTGAATAATTTTCACTGTCCTTATGACTCTAAAATATGGTAGTGTCCAGTGTCCCTATGCAGGTTTACAAATTTGGAAAATAGTACCAAGAAGTACGGTTTGCTCCTATGTAGTTGGATACCGATATTGTAAAGTCTTGAATAACCTTGTGTTTACTGACGAACTTTATCATAATTTTTGCCTCTTTGAAGGTTTGAGTGGGTGGAACTTCTTGAACCATCTTCACAAAAAGTCATTTTTGCTAACCTTGAATCTGGAGAGATTCGTTGGGATTCACCCCCAAATGCAAGAGTGTAAGTTGTTGGCGGTAATTTTATAGTTGATGTTCATTGCTTGCAGTTTCGTGCTAATTTGGTCTGCTGCCTACTTTATCCACTAAATTACGTTACATAAAATTTGGATTAGGGTTTTTGACAATCATTGTTTCCAAGGTTATCTTCAGCTTATTAGTGCAAGCGTCTTCGACGTATCACTTAGTGCAGTAAATGTCCCGATTTTTCTCCACGTGTAAGTCGTGTCTCCGGTTTGCAATTAAATCGATGAGCTTTGTTTGTGGTCCTATTCACCATCAACCCCATTTACCAGTTTTTTTATCAAATTAATATGTTGATCCGAACTACGTGCTGATGTGCCCGTTGCTTGTGCTCTATGAGTTTTTTTGACAGTAAGCGACCACGTAATCTTTTGTTTTTAGAAAACCACTTGCAAACGAACAATGGTGGGAATTGTTTGATGTGAACACTCAACGACACTACTACCACAACGTGCGTACAGGCAGAACCGAGTGGAATAGGCCGTCTACTGGGGATGTGATTCCCTTGTCTAACTTGCAAGTGCGTTCCTTAGCTTTTACTAGTTCTGCTTCGCTACACTTCTTCGATTCGAAAATTGATGGTTTTGACACCTGGTGTGTTTTTTCTTGAAATGTGAAATCACGGTTGTATTAGTGAATTTGTCAGTGTGTTTATTTCGTCTTCTGTTTCTCTCCTCTGCAACTTCTTTGTTTTTCCGCTTTATGTGCGCCAATTTATTGAAGCCGAAATTAACCTCTTTTCGAGGTTCGGATGCCGTCAACCTTTGTTTACACTCTAAATCATTCTTTTCGACTACCTAATGAGTATTTTTGCTAGTCTCTTTTGAAGTCAAGACAGTGGTTACAGCGTATTTGGTGGCTTTAATCCCATCCACAACCACTTTCACTGTCTTCTTATCGATCCATTTACGTAGACGGTTGAAAACCGGCCGGGTGTATGTGTCCCTACGCACGGCGTCGTTTTTGCATCCCGCACTATTCGACCAACTTTTTTTGTAACTTTCATAGTCACCTGGTGTTTTTTGTGTATGCTGTGTGGAAACTTTTGTGCGTGTGTGTGTGTGCCTGGGAGTGACCAGGCCTCGGCGTTCCCTTTTTTAATCGACCCGATTTTTGTGCTAATTTTTAAAACCGTCGAAATTCCTCATTGTTAATGCCATGGATTCCAGCCGTTCGCGGTTTTACTTTAATCTGTAGGAACATGCCATCTGAAACCTCTTAACTTGTCTAACTTCGCAAATATGCTCGTATGTGTAAACGGCTTTCGTGGACACATAGTTTCTTGGTCAATGAAAAAATAGAGCCCACGTTGACTTGTGGCTCGTGTAATCACAATCGAGCGATATCTTTTTCCCAGATAGTCGCTGGCTGGGCTACCGTAGTTGGAAGAAGACGGTGCTGGCATGGGACAGGTTTAGTGTTTACTAGATCCGAGATGTCTGCCTTTCGCGTGGGAATCGCTGACGTAAACTGCGATTGGTGAGTCGAATCAGTCGCTGGAGCTTTTCGCCACCGATTCCGGCATTTTCATAGTTTTCGAACGCCTTCTTCCTCTTTCTCCACTTTCAGTGTGCAAAACGGCGCAGCGTTCTTTTTTTTTGAGAAAAAAAAACGAAACTGTGTGTGACTCGTCCTTTGTTTTTCTGTTTGCCTAGTAGCCTGATAAATGGGCTCTTCAGCGTGGCATCGACTGCTTATTTTGTCTAGTTAAAATACACTACCGCGCCAACAAAACGCACTCTCTCTCGTGGTGTTCTTTAAATTTGCCATTCCAGTTTGCACACTGCGGGCCTTGCAGTTGTCTCGAAATAGTGAAAACCACGCCCTTATTTTTTCAACTTTTAGCTGCTCAAGCAATTCGCCAGTTCGGACAGCACCATGGACAAGGTTAGTTGTCTAGTCTTGTGTGACAGGTCGTCCGTGTTCACCACCTTGGCCAGTTACCGCCGACCGGATCTACCGTCAAAGCCACGGCGTCGAAGTATTTAATCGGGTTAGGCAGATCAAGGCCAGACACAGATTGTTTAAGTGGCTGGTTGTGTGCACTCAGAAGTGTGTTTGTGTTCGTGTGTGTGTGTGTGTGTATGTGTGTGTTTATATGACAATTTAAGTCTAAAGTTTATTTTTGCGATTATGTGTGAATGTGGCTGTTTGCTTAGGCCTGAACAAGTGCCGTGTTTGTGTGTCCCTTCTTGGGCAGTATTTGTGCCTATTTCGCAATCGCCTGCTCATCTCCACCTTTTACCTTCCATCCTACCGAACATTGGCGTGCATACCCCATGCGTCCACTGCCCTTTCACGGGGTTTCATGACCTGGCTGGATGCTTGCACGGTTATTGTGTACGAGAGTTGTTCAATGTCGATCCTTTGCGTTAAAAAGCATTGCTAAAAGGTGCGTCTGTTCTTGAAAGCCTAAGGTGTGCGGTTAGCTTGCAAAAACACGCCTTCATTGGAAGTCGACACCTCCGCTACGACCTCTACTACCTCCACTACCACCTCCGCTACTCCCACCACCACTTCCACTGCCACCTCCATCACCACCTCCACTACCTCCACCACCACTACTACCTCCAGCACCACTGCCACCTCAATCACCAACTACACTACCTCCACCACCACCTCCGCTACACCACCACCTCCACTGCCACCTCCACTACCTCCATCATCACCACCTCCAGCACCACTCCGCCTCAATCACCACTACCTCCACCACCATCTCCGCTACCACTGCCACCTCCATCATCACCTCCTCAACCTGCATCACCACTGCCACCTCAATCACCACCACCTCTACTGCCTCCAGCACCACTACCACCTCAATCACCACTACCTCCACCACCACCTCCGCTACCACTTCCACTGCCACCTCCATCACCACCAATCTGGAGTTAAGCCCATGTGAACTAGCCAGACACCATTACCTGTGTGCCATAGGCAATTCTCCACCAGGTACTCGCTCGCCGGAACGCGATCTTGTTGCAGATTTTAGCCTCTCCAGCGCGTGTTCGCGTGTGTGAGCAAACGTACTTATTATCCCCTTAACGTGTTTCAGTCTGCCAAAGGCAACACGAAAACCCTCGTAAGTGGTCGTGCCTTACTCGTTTTCCGCGTCTCCGTTTGTACGCACGCGCTGCCTCGCATGACGCGGCTTCTGAACCGCTAGTTTGTGGTCGGTGCACGGGGTGGCTGTGGGTGTGTGTGTGTGTGTTGGCAAACATGATCCCTAGACAACACGCAGCGTTCACCCGGTCGTTAAAGTGGATTCTCGTGCATGAATTATCGCATGGTCTGTGTAAACGGTCGTCCCGAGAACTGCCTTGGCGGTTTGTCAAACGCCGCACGCTCTTTTTTTAAAGAACTTTCGCACATTCTCTCTCCCATTCATTGTTTTGCCCAATGATTTCCGGCCGATCTCGCTGTGATTCCGCAATTTTTTTTGTTTAAGTACCTCTTCACAGCCAATGAACGCACTATTGAATGTCTCCTTGGTCTTCGATCGCATGATCCCGAAAAATTACTCCAAGACCTCGTCACTGAAGCTTCATCGTCCAATTCCATCTGAATTCGAGAATCTTGGAATTTTAGGTCCTAATTCTCAGCCGCCATTAGCTGACTAATCTCATGCATTTCTTATTAATTAACCAATCACATGAAGGCGTCCCCTTGTCTACGCACCAGGATCATTGCTTCTTTCGTGTTGTGATTAATTTCGCTGTCTGAAATGGCAATTCAACCTGCCTCTGTTTTGACCTTTTCCCGAAATCGGGTGAATCTTAGGTCCGCCGTTTTTTAATGTTCGTGTGTACGGCACGTTTCCCCCTAGTGCCGTATTCGTAATTACGCATTGCGTCGTGCAATTATGGTGTGCAGTTGGTAATTTGCTTTTGGTATAGTGGCTAGGGCCTTATAACCGCGATTTCTTGGAGTGGTTTTAGCCAAGTAGTGAACACTTTCCATGCCTTGCCGACTTGACGAAACCATCTGCTACCGCTGTTTGGCAATCGCGACATGTTCTCGCTCCGCTTTGGTGGCGGTTTGACCGATCGGTCGGCAGTTCCGCACCGATCAGTCTCCTGCGAGTAAATTTTGAAGTAAACACGTAGCGGTCGTGACCTTAGTTATTTGACCTGCCGCGTTCCCTTTGACTGCAATTGGAACTTGTTGACGTTATCCACGTCCACGTCAAGACTTTAATGCACCTCTTTCCTGGATAACGTGACGTGGTGTTTTGGCGAAATTCTATTGATCTACAGTTTGCCCGGGCTCGAGCCCCGTCCAGTGTCTGATTTATGTTGCTGTGCTGTCGTCAGCGGCTTGACATGTGCGTCTGTTATCACTTAGGCCGTGGTTAAGCCTCATTATTTCCTCGTGGCATCAGCAAAACCGTTTTGATGTCGTGTCGTGACTTCACAGTTGAGTGTGCGTGTGTGTGTTCGCTAGTCCAAAATAGATTCGATTCCTCTTTCCAGTAATGGGTATTCGTGGTGTGCCCGTGGGTTTCTTTTCTTAATCCCGAACTGAGATCAGTAGTTCAAAATCGTGATCCTCGTCACAGCAATGCTCTCCAAGTTGACCATGCTTCTGATTTGAATTTAGCAAACCATCGGCGTCTGCCTTTATTTGTCGTTTTGCGCGCAAACGCCCTGGCGGACTCGTGATTTCTGAAGAGTGCCCAAAGCTCCGCCTTCAAAGGCGTGGCGCAGCGTCGTTTTGTTGGTCTATTTTCACGAACTGAGTCATCAAGGGCGGAGACCGATTGGTTATGGCGGTGTTGGGTGTTGCCTGAGGGGGCGGAGGTTCGGCTTTACCCTCCAGTGGGCGAGGCCAACAATTTGCATGACACGTACCGCAGTTATCGTCCTTCTTGTGGCTTGGCGTGATCGTTTTGGTGAATAATTCATTGGCCAAATTGTTCTGGTGGTTTTCTTTCTCTGGCGCATACCTATTTACCTTAATTGTCGTTCAATTCCAGTGCCATTGCTTGTATCCATCACTGCTTTCATTGTCGAATTTTCAGCATCATTGCAATTAATCAATCAACGCCGATAAATGTCAATCTCTCCCCGATTGGCTGCTTTAATTTGCTCGGTCCCCTCGGGTCTCTCCTCTGATTGGACAGTTGGCCACATTATGTACCACTGGCGAAACCCCCACCATTTTTTTCATCTGGTCCATCTCTTGCAACCGTGTTTAATTAAAATCGCAGGATTAACTTGCCCAGACCGCCTTCTCACCCTTGGTGCATCCGGAGTTTGCTCATAAAACCTGTCTGTCTGGAGTTTGTGTCTGCTCAAACCGAAAACCTCATTATCTTTTGAGCGGGCGAAGGGTTCGTGCATGCAGACCATGTGCTGACTACGCCACAATATCTTGCCCCCACCACAGACACCCCGATTTGTGCATGTTTTTTTTTTGTTTGGTTCTTTCTGTGTCAGGACATTGGCGTGATGCATCGTCACAAGGTCCCGTCCACTGGCGGTGGCCGCAACTCCGTTCACATGGTGCAGCAGGACCGCAGCAAGATCCCCGCTTCCGGCACCCCGTGCGCCACTCGACACCCCATCTCAACTGGCTACCAACGCCAGCACCCCAGCGGCACACCGAACCCCGACAGGCCCGTTCCCCACCGTCGGCGCAATTCGCAGCCAACCCGTTCCACCGCCTCCGTCACCTCGTCCCCGTCCATCCAGCAGACGCTGACGCGATCGGCCGGTGAGAATATGACCGTAGCTGCGAACCAGCGCGTCACCGAGTGGCTGCGGTCGGCGGGATCGTTGCCCGAGGAGGTAGAGGATGACGCGTTGCCGCACCAAAGACCGTCTGACGGCCCAGTACGATTCCTGCCGACTTCGACTTTGGCCATTTCGGTTGTCCTTCTCTAGTCTACGAAGCCTTGTTTATTGTCCTTTGTAGGCGGTGAACTCGGCGACACCTCAACCGCGCTGGCACGCGACTCGCGGTGTCACGACTGCCATGTTTCAGGCGCACCTTCCACCCGTAACTCGTCACCACTTCCCCGCCCAGCCCGCTCCTCCAACCACCGCTGCCGTCCCCCTAATGCGTCCCCCCACGGTGATGACTACGGCCGCCTATGACCGTCGCGTCGTCTCCATGGTTCCCACGCCGCCGCCACCACCCATGCACGGTCATGAAAGTGCTTTCACGAACCTCCTCTACGACATGTCGTGCAACGTGGTGCCGCAGCAGCTCCCAACGGGCATGGCCGCACTAGCGCTCACTCCGCGTCCCGCGCCTCGGACAAACGTCCACGCCGTCGCAGGCACGATGCCGCGTCTCTCCGGTCCGTTCGCGAAGCCGCCGCCGTCGCAGCAGCAGCAGCAGCCTGTGAAGAATGGAAACGCGGCGAACGGCGCCTCGTCGCCCGACACCGAGATAACGACAAACTCGTCCGCGTCGATGTCCTCCTACTCCGGCGACAGCGATGCCGGCAGTAACGAAGCGGACGCCGCCTCGTCGGCCAGGGATGCGCCAACTTACTCGGTTAGTTTCTTTTGCTCTCAGTTAAACCTCTACCAGCATTCCAAGCTATTGTATCGGTGCTTTTTTTTCCGGGTATCAAGAAGGAGGACATCTTCGAGCAGCATCCTTTTCGCCCCAACACGGTGTTACCTGTGGACGAGTACACCTTCACGGTACCGCGACAGCAAGCCGTGTTCCAGAGTCACCAACAGCTCTCCGATGGACCCAGCGGTTGGGCCCTCTCACAGCCTCAACCGGCCTCTGCAATGCTGGTCGACGACCTCGATCAGGCTCCGCCTACTCCGCCTCCACGCCTCGCCTCCGCCATGAACACCATGCACTTCAGCAGAGGTCAGCAATCGGCTCCTGCGGACGGCATGGCATGGCAGGTACGTAAGCGTGAAGAGCATCATCACACCATCTGGCGATATATCATTAACGCGTGCTTTCACTTCGTCCTCCGTAGAACTGTGAGGTATCCGCGACGTCGGGCTTCCTTCCACGCTGTCATCCGCTGCGACAGCCGAAGAAGCTCTCCTCGTGCGCCAGTCCCACGCTAAACTCCGTCGTCAGTGCAGATGGTGAGTTCTCGCTCCGTCCCAAGTCCCTCTTCACGCCCCTCATTCAAGCCGTTTTAACTCGAGTTAACGCTAGAACCTGCTGTGAGTTTGTTTTTACATTGAATTTAACTCCAATCTGCCAGCCAATCGGTAGCGGCCGTGTGTTTGTCGATTTCTATTGGCCCAGCAGGGAATCCGCTTTGCAACCCAAGACTGCCGTTTTCCTGAGCAAAGTAATATTTATGCCAATTGATTTAGGTTTTTTGGTCAAACAAACCGTGTTAGTTTAGCAATGTCTCCCCAACTACCAGTGTGCAGTGTGTGCTGTACTAACAGCTGATTTATTGGTACGCAGTGCGCAGTTTCGCATACCTCTGTTGCTCGCATTTCCACCTTGTTCATCTTTTTTTTTTCAAAAATCTTGATTTGGACGCGCGTGTTGCGAATTGTTGAAGGAGGGTTCAGCCCTGTGGATGGGTCAAGTGCCACGTAATCAATACTCCCGACCTCTTGTACTTCCTCAGACCTCTTTGAACTTGCGCTAACTCATCTGGCAGTCGTTGACGTCTTGCCCGCCATGCGAATCTTGTTCCAGTGTGGTATTTGTGGTTTTCGTCAATTACCGTCCCACCTGGTCGGTGTGGGAAGGAAGAGGAGGCGAGGGGGGTGGGGTGGGAGGCAGGGAGGGGAAGGATCAGTGCGCGAGAGGTGATTCATTTGCGGTTTTAATGAGGCTGACTGGACACCTACATGCGCACACACACACACGCGCGCATGTAGCACTGTGGCTACTGCGCTCGTTCCCTGGATTTGGCTGCTAACGAGACTGTGTGTTGGTAAATCGGTTCTAGCTGATTCAGCGAGAATTCGACCACCTCCTTCAATCCAAACCAGAGTAACCAAGCGTCTTCCAACCATTGACGTGAGCTAGTTTTGGCGTTGGCGGTTGGGTGCGGTCTCGTTTTGACCGCTTCTTGGTCCAGTTTTATGGGTTATTGACAGTAGGCTTCGATATGGCTTGTCGTGGTTGCAGTTGTAGCCGATGTTGATACACACACACACACCATGAGCATTGACTTGGTGTGTTAACTGATATCTGTTCTACGTATCGGGGTGTTTAAACGGCTCCCGAACTAAGACAATTAAATGAAATGGCCCACAGTTTGCCTTTAACTCAACCCCAACGTGTGTCATCTAGTGATATGTACCCCGCTTTCTGGCGAATTCACCGCATGCCTGACGCAACTGCTAACTCCGCAGTTGTGTAGGACGCAATTCCTGAAGCAGGTGTTGCGTCGCGTCAGCGCAGCCGAAGTACCATCGGGCAGGTTCGATCGGTCGAACGATTTCGCAGGCATTTTCCACGACCCCAATCCTTCCACTTTCCGTCTGTCAACTTGGACTGTGTAATTTCGCCTTGCCAGACGATACTTCAGAGGATCCGGCTGTGATCCATACCTCGACACGCTCCCTAATCTCGGCCAGTTCGTCGACCCACGAGGCTGCGGGGACCGGCAACGCGCCCACCTCGTCCCTCCACCCCCGACGGTCCGCTTCAGGCGGTTTCATTGGCCCTGCGGACGCCGAGGTGCCACCGTCCACCACCGCCACCAAGTCGACCCTGGAGCAGGCGGCGCCATGCACCATCACCTCAGGAACCACGCATTTCGCTCTCATCTCAGGGCCGTATTCCTGGCCGAAGGATCTGCTTCGCCAGGGCCAGGATCGCTCCACGCTAATGAGTTGGACCAAGGTTTGTTTCTGTGATTCCATTCCACGCTCCACCCCTCGCTCCCCTCATCTCACCTAGCTTAACTTTGTATTCGCCTTCGTTTCTAGGCGGCTTTTTCGAAGCGAATACTGGCCGCGACTGACAAGAGCTTGCTACGGCACCTGCCCGAGAATTTCAAGTGTACGTTAGTTGTCAGTTATTAGTTGTGTGACTTTTAAAAAAAGATAGTGAACAAAGAACGCTGTTTTGGCACAAAAAACGCCCATTATTTTCAATGACCTTACGTATATACCGTCGCGATAAAGGCTTGCAGGCTTCGTGGAGACGAATTTACGCACCCCGTCCAGCGTTTCGAACTGCTGCATTGACTGGAACAAATGTTGGTCGGAAGGGGGTTGAGTCTGGTGAATTTGCCGCTCGTTGTGGGAGAACTTCTCATCCCAAGTTCAAGAGGGTCGTCTGAGTCGCGCGCGCGACCTACATGTGGTGATCGAGCGTTGTCATGCCGCATCAGCATGATGTGCTTGCTTCCTTGCCCAGTATATGGTCCTTTCTGACCAAATTCTTCCCTCGGTTTGTTCACTTGACGACGACCAGTTTGCTGGAGTTCGTAATAACGTAGTACTCTCTTCAGGCCCCCCTCCCCACCAGACACACAGAAGGACGTTCTCCAAGTGGATGTCCTGTTTCGGCGTCGATGGACCCACCCACGACACCACTTTACGGTCGGCACGTTGACGTAGGTAGTGTTCGGTCAACTCATGTGGTGGGTCCCACCTTCCGTGGTCTTGTAGGTGTTTTCCAGCTGTTGCAAATGCCATTTCGTAGTGTGGCCTTTAGGCAAGGCAACTGGATCCGCGTATCCTCGTTCCCCGACCCTGGAATCTGTCTGATCTCGAACTGCAAAACCCACTGATCTTGTCGGCTCTTGACATATTCCTCGTTGATGGATGGTTAGGATCTGAAGAAAGATCCTCCCGTGTCGATGTCTCTCTCGAGTCAACTGGCATTGGTAATTGCAACCCCCTCGTTCCGCGTTTCTGAACGAAGGTGGTACACGCAAGCGTTGGCACCTCCGTATCGAAGTTAGGTCCATTCGTAGAACTTCCACAACGCGCTGACATCCAAACGTGTCCGGCGTTGGTGCCGGTGTTTTGATGGTTCACCCTACAGACTGTCTTCTTCGGGTTTTGCATTTTGTTCGATCTACGTTAGCGAAATGCACTTCCGTGTCGTCGTCGTTGGATTCCACAGTAACCTTGCCCCACGAAATGCGTTATCGGCGTTTCGACGACAATGACCGTCTAATTTTTTTTCATGGGTATTCCGATGAGACGAAACGCTTTCTCACCCAGTCTCACTTCTGCCGTTTAGACTTTGATGGAATACAATGCCTGTGGAGGATGGTGTATTAGTTTTGTTTTTAGTGTCGAGTAAGAACTACGTCTTTCCCCTGTTCTCGAACTACTTTCTGGATGTTTTTCATTGGTTGCTTCCAAATCATGCTTTATTGGTTATTGGCAATAAACATCCAACGTCGATCGCTAGTTGTCTTCCGAAATCTCGTTAAATCAGATGTGCTCAGCTATCATTTAGAAAGCAAAACGGCTTGACGTGTATTCGCGCGTCGTGATTTGTTGACCACTTTCCAGTGTTGAAAACATCCGCGTGAAGTCCTTGACCAAGGCTTGGTCCCTACTACCACTTCCAACACAGTTACCGACATCGCTTACAACACCACCGACACTACGGCTATTACCGTCACTGCTAACGCTGCCACCACTGCAGCCACAAACATCGTTACGAACACTATTACCGCTACCAACCTCCACCACCACTACCACCACCGACACAGCTATCCACACTGATACTACTTCCAGCACAGTCACTACTATCACCACCAATAACGCTACTAACACTACTACCTTCACAGCCATCACTACCAGCACCTCCACTGCCAAACCTGCAGCTGTCACCATCACTGCCAACATCGCCACCACCATCACTGTCAACACTACTACCACTACAGCTGCCACCATCGCCATCGCTTCCACTACGAACATCGCTACCAATATCGCCACGAGCACTACCGCCACCACCACTAACCTCTTCACCATCACTATCGCCACCAACATAGCTACCAACACAGACATCACTACTACCACCACAGCCGTCAACACCACTACAAACTTCGCCACCAACACCGTTTTTGTTTGATATCTTGTGCTCGTGTGTGACGTGGTCATTCAACAGGGTCCATCTAATTCCTCGTTTACAGTGATCCAATCCTTCATGGGCGATCGCGCGGCCAAACTCAGTAAACCGGACCTCGCTTCGATCATCATCCAACGCGCCATCACCACGCCTGGTGTGCGAGACGAACTCTACGCCCAGCTCTGCAAACAGACGACCGGCAATTACAACGCGTAGGTCCCTTGAGTGAAGTCGTCGTTTACTCCCCCCAAGTCCACTCTCTACACCAGCGTCTGTTTCCCCTCTAGCGACAGTCTCATGCGAGGCTGGGAGCTGCTCTGCATTTGCCTCTACTTCTTCCCGCCCAACAAGGTCTTCCGTGATCCCCTCCACGCCTACCTAACCGCCCGGTGCGAGGCTCTGTCCATTGGCCTCGCACCGTCCGGCCTCCACACCTCGTCAACTGCCTCCTCCTCCGTGGCCGAGTCGACGGCCGCGATTCGGCCAGGTCCGAGTCTGGCGGCGGCAGCAGCGCTGGCAGCTGGCAGCGACCCCGCCGCCCTCGTCTCCGCACCCATCACACCCTCGTTCGGTGTGCCCCTGACGAACGGTGACGCCGGTGGCGACGCCAACTCCGTGGAACCCTCCGACGCACCGTCCAGCGAGTTCCCCTACGGTCCCTGGGTGAAGTTGTCGGCGTTGCACTTCACCAGGGCTGCGCCGCGGTGGTTCATGCGTTCGGTCGCCGTCGGACCGAGTCGTTTGCCGATGCCGCTTTCCAAGGAGGAGTTGCTGCACGTCAAGGTGAGCCTGGAACACGCTTTTAGTCGTTTGTGACCACTTCCAAATCCATCCAATCCCCTGTTAATATTCCTTCTTAGGATTTCCTCTTGAAGCCGGGCATTTTCGGCAGCAGTCTGGAGGAAATGCTCAAGATCCAGTCCTGCCGGTTCCCATCGCTTCGACTGCCGTGGATTCAGGTCTTCCTCACCGAGGAACTACTACGCCTCAAGGGCGCCAAAGCGGAAGGCATTTTCCGGTTAGTCCCTGTTTTTTTTGGCGGGGCGCTGAAGTCGCTCGCTTCGCCTCACTTTCAGGCGAATTGGATGGTTTGCTGCTGGTGGCGATTCAAACGACTGGAATGCAAGTGGGAGATGAACTAGTGCCGATTTATTGCGTTCGGACTTTGAATCGCTTTCATTTTGAATCATCGCCGATGATGGTGGTGGTAACTTTTACGACAAAAGCGGATTGGTCCATTAAAATCGAGCTGTTAAACTAGACGAACGCACAAGCCTAACTTTTATCTTTGTATGACAGCTGCTGAAAACCAGAGCGTGACGCTCGTTTTCTTGTCCGCGATGAGTCATTCAGATGCGTTAACGGCGGTGAAGCCTCATTCACTTTGCGTCCACCTAATCTAGTGTCTCCGCGGACCAGGACATTTTGACTGCGGTTCGTTTCCAACTGGAGAAACTCTTCGAGGTGTTCCGTGTGGTCGAGGTGACCTCTCGTGACGCCGCACCCACCTACGCGATCGTCCGTCCACCACCGCGAGGCTGGAGCCAGTCCCAGCTTGTCTTCGCTCCCGAGGGCAACGACGTGCCCTCTGCGAATCCGACCCTACCTCGAAGTCCCCTACTTGAGTGTCCCGCGCTCACCGGAGCCTTCGAATTGCCCCTCAAGCCCACCCCCATCTCCCCGCGACCCGCCGAGTACATGCTACTCACGCCTCGTGCCGTGTGGCCGGGGGATCTTGGTAGTTTCGGGGAGTCGTCGAACGCGGACGAGAACAGTGCCTTCCTCGACCCCCACCTGTCTGCCGCCCTGTTGAAACTCTGGCTCCGAGAAATGGCGACTCCCCTTGTTCCCCCCGGCCTCACCGCCGAGGTCTTCTCGGCCGCCGTGGAGGCGGACGCCTTCGAGAAAGCCGCCGTTCGCGACGGAAACCAGGTCTCGCATCAGGCGCCGATCGATAAGTGTTGCGCCACGGTCAGACGTCTGCCTCGGACCAATCGCAGGGTCTTATTGTACCTCATCAAGCTGTGTCAGGTAAGTCCAGTTACTCAAGTGCTATTGGTCGATGCTCGGGAAGTCAAGTCCTGATTGGTTGGAAGTTCGGCCTTTTTAATTGGCTCACAGGTGAGGAGTTTCTTCGTCAAAATTATGCGTTGGCCAGGCACACGCATTCGTGTACACCATTATGCAAATTAGTTTGTGTAACATCAGCCATCACGACACTGCCTTCACCGTCTGCTTCTCCTTGCCGTAGTATCTTGCACGACCCGAGAATGCGTCGGCGTCTCTCATGGACTCACGCAACCTCGCGACCGTGATCGCGCCGAACCTCTTCCGTTCCACCACCAACAACCCGAGCGAGATGCTGAACTCTGTCCAGTCCCAGACAGCCTTCGTCCGCCTCCTCATCTGCCACCTCAACGTCGACGCCGAGGCCGACCTCTTGAACTCCGAGGAGGAGGCTGCTTCGGCAACAGCCACCGCCTTCTCCACGTCCTCCTCCTCCCGATAGTGTTCCCCCCGCCCCCCAAATAAAAAAACTGCAAAGTTGGCAGTTCAACGTGCACGCATTACCGACCCTCTTCAGCATCTTCCAGCTTTTAAGTTTCCGTTGTGTACATATTCCGCACCCTCGTCTCCTCAGAAACCTGCCCCTCCCTCCGCCGGCAAGGATTTCGACAATTATTGATGATGACGTTTGACAAAAATATTAATTTGTTCTTTTCTTCTTGTTTTAATTGTCGTCTTTTTTTCTGAGAGTTCATTGGCGACGAAGATAGCCGTGCCTACTGTTTCAACCAATAGGCTGAGCCCTTGGGTGACCTTGACAGCGCACTCAAGGTGGGTGTGAGCCAATGGGATAAGAGGGCGGTCGATATGGCCAGCTGAGCGGATTCAAATGCGACCGCTTTTGAGATGATAAAGTCAGCCGCTCACGTAGCTGAATCCACCACCTCTGCGCGTCCTCCGTTTCACTTTTTATGCGAAATTTTGCCCGTCCGATGAGTCACACAAGCCTTCTCAACTGCCCAACCCCGCTAACTTCACGGCCGTTGATTTCGGTGCTGCGTGACTTCGCCGGTCAAGAATTTGTGGTCTCACCGGTGGTTAATTAGTTGAGGTAGAGGGATTTTTAGCTGGATCCCTTCAAACCAGACAACATTATTCCCGAGGCGGTTAAGATGGAATCTTATTCGATGCCTCTAATCGATAAATGCTTAAATTTTGATAACGACCCACGCTGAACGCGCGGTTGGTTCTATATCGATTGTGTAGGGTTAGACCTTGGTATCCCCATAACTTCGAGCTTGTATGAGTTCCGAGGCATTCTGACGCTAAAGTAATTGTAGTCCTTTATTACCTACTGGCCATTTTAATTTTCAGCGCACGGAAATCCAAGTTATAGGGCGTTGTGAGATGGAGAGGTAGTAGATTCTTCGAATTTTCCACAAGAAGACAAATCTTTCAAAAAATCTGTGCTCTTATCGAGTGAGGAATTCTCATATCGTCATCATCATTACCTGTTAAATGTTGTATCAATTTCTTGCTTGCGTCAAGAAGATTTGATCTGTGATTCACACGATCAAGCTACGGAAAAAAGTACCTCTATGCATATCGATGTGCGGCTCTGTTGATCGATTTTGTAGAGGTACAAGATTGCTGTGCTGGTTATTGAGGCAATCCTCCCTCTGCAATCTCTTGTGATAATGCCACCTGTGCCCCAAGCGGTCCTCTCAGCTCCCTCTACGGAAAGTGAATCGATCTCGGGGGGTGGGGGGAGAGGAATTAGTTGTCGCAGCGTGGCAAACTGTGCGATAAGTCCACCTTGCACGCAAGTAACGATTTTCTTCGTGGGATGCCAGATTTTAATGGGTAGCTAGCGCAAAACTTAGCCTCCCTTGGTGAAAATAAACTTTTTTCCACGACACACACACACGCGCGCGTCCGCAGTCGTAGGCATTACCGTCTGCCGATCCTGTCCAGCGCTGAATCATTACACACACGAAAAGTTGATTTGCGCGCGCGCGTGGTCGTATCCCTTGTTTATTTGTCATTGGTTGCCCGATCATGCTCCGTTTGTGTGGGCAGGTGCGCGTGTGTGATTCACGCCCCATGATATTCAATTCCCCCCCCCCCACTTTGCATCATCTGTTTGTCTGTTTTGTGAATAAAACCCATGTTTTCATGAAACACGATTTGCACAGGTTCCAGTGCAAATCGTTAGTGAAACCTTTGTGTAATGCCAACTGCATGGGTTAGTTTTCCTTAGCCAAAACTTTGCGCATCCAGGCCTACTTGTGATGCGCGCGATGGCAATCATTGTGCAGCCTAGTTAAACAAAACCCTTCACGCGGATTGGCCGAGACCAAAACGTGATTGTGGAGAGGTTAAAACATTTTACAAGGGCTTCAGGAGTGTACCTGCTAATATTTGAAAATCAGAGTTCATTTGAACCATCACAGAAAAGGGAGTGCGTGAAGCCTATTGGTTGCCTATA